TTGGAATGGCAAAAGCGAACTTATTACAATAAACTTGATTGCACGGATTAGTATCACAAGTCTGTAGTTCACAGTCTAATTTTGTTCATCACAATGAGAAATAAATCTGTTACGTGTGCAGTATACAAGCAACTAAGTGCGTATGCGCAGGTCACGGGCCATGGGGACGCTTCCGGAGCGTTGTCGCGTCGCGCCCTTCCGGTGAGCAGGCATGCGCGGGCGCCGCCGCCGCTTATGTTCTGAAGCGTGACCGCGGCCTAGTATCGCACTATTATATGCTATTGTGACATTTAGTAATTGGATGTACATATTATGTCTAACTGTCTATTATATACGTATGAGACAATGGTAGACACGAGGAGGATATTTAGGTTATAATAAAAATATTAGGTCAATAGCAATACACGAGGAGACCATGAGCATCACAATTATTCTGCAGTATTCATAAAACTATTTATATCTATAAATGATGATTACTACTTTCTATTCAGTGGGCCGTGAGTTTCTTTGATATTCAAAGATATATTATAAAAAATGATAAACACTTACCTTATGAAATAACATCCACAAATGTTTGCACGCACATGTGTACAAAATTTCTAATGTTCGGTATGTAACACGTCATAATTTTAGGAAAATAGGATAATGTTTAATTGCCTGACATAACATAATATTTGATTTCATTAAAATAGATTACACTAAGAACAAAAACTTAGTGCAATATAAATTTGAGATTGCACTGAATAGTAACAGCGGTACTGATATGTCTTTTTATCACAGGCTGCTCATTTTCTTTCTTAATTTACCAATATTGTTATTTATATTCATTCTGGATATATTATAAAAACTGTAAACATTAAAATATTTTCATATTAATGACCTAATACTTATATGATTAAAAAGAATTGGATAATCATTTTACTACTCGGAATTGTATTAACGAAATTTCAATTGTAAAAATATTATTTTATTATTATATAGTTTATACCAAATTAATTAAATAAAATATTTTATCAAATACACCATTTCTTGGTAAAGTCGTGACAAATTAACAAATATATAATCTTAGTTTCACTCTTACAATTTTATAATATTAGTAAGTATGTTGTATCTTTTATATCTACGTACTGCGATCGAACATTATTTTGTGACTACATATAGATTTTCTTACAAGATTATTGGCAATATGTTCATTACAACAATTCCCAAGTAAAATTACAACATTATAACCATTTCGAAAGTTGATTAAAAAAATTTTTAGGCATATTTAAATTTGATTAGATTAAAGAAATTTCAGGTAGATTAAAGAAAACAAATAAAACTTATGACGTCAAACCGTGTCTATTTAATAAATAAATCAGCTTATTCAGATACAATTCCTGGTTTTTACTAAAAAATAAATATATTCCTTATGCCAAAGAATCTGTAGCTGTCAATGTCCATGTCCTTTCACTGCAAGAGTTTAACATATATCTACGAGAACACTCGAAGGAAATTGAAGACACCAAGTTACCTGTATTATTACGAATATACTTACTTGTAGTTTGTAGCCAATGTAATATAAAATATTTTATATTAGATAATAATAAATAAATAAACGAAATATTTTACAGATAGTATCTATATCGTGTGTATAGTAACGGATAAATAAACAGTCAATTTTATAATATAGGGAGTAGTGAGAAATATTTTTTTATATATATCTAGATACGGTATTTCCATAATTTCATTAGTATGAGTTTACTACGTATAATATAATATACTTATTAATCGCATTACCTTACTATTCATTATAAGGCTCGTAATATAAACCAATTACTACGCTTGGGAACAGCTTTTATGATGCAATTAATGCTTTCAGTTAAAGCATCGTGAAAAATAAAATGGTATTCATTTTATAGTGACATGTTAATGGAGTATGGCCACCTGAGCTATTATTAAAATAAAAATTACAAACAATATTTGTAGCGACCTCGATAAAATATTTATTTTAATTTTGAAACTCCGTTTATTACTACAGACAAATATTTAGTATGTAAATATCATCATTCGTGGGGTTGACATTAATTGTCTAATGTTTTTGTTTAACGTAATAAAGAAAAATATATTATAATATCATAGTATTTCGTAAGAAATTTCAAAAATGAAAAGTGATTGTGATTCAAAATTAGTTAATTTTACTTATACGTCTTACAAAAACATAACCCCAATGATTATTGACGCATTAAAAATGCCATTCATGTGCTCAAATTTTGTCAATACAACGCGATGGTTATTCAGAGAAGATCGGAAACAATTAGACAACTGTGGCATTGGTCAGCAGAGCGCATATCCGTACGATACGCGCTGTTCTACTGCTTTACTCGCGGCCAATATTTTCCAGAATGGTTTAGATATAGAAACATATTAACAGGCAACTTGGCGCAAATAATAATAAACCTTACTTGTTAACAGTACGATCTAAAATAACACTACATAGTCTGAAGTACTGTATGCAAAAGGATCATCGATACAGAATTTTGTATCATTTAAACTATTCGTTTTTCGGGTCAGCGACTAAATGTAAAATATGAATATAATTGGGCAGCTTGTAATTCGATATAACTGTATATCGATAAGGTTAAAGATGAGAAAAATTAAAGAATCTGATAATTCATTGAGAAATAAACGTATTATAAATGAATTATTAGTAATGGAAACACCATTCCGCATTGCTAATGATATAGGTAGGGTATAGAGAAATAACACCTGCGTCTTCAGGAATGACAACGCATGAGGAGTATCGTGAGCGAAACAGTATACTCTGTTATGTCCATAGTATTGCTCATGTCTATAGGCGGCGATTACCACTTTCCATCATGTTGTCCATCAGCATGTTTGCCATTCTAAGTTGCATTAAAAAAAAGTATGACATCCACCTAGTCTAGAAACCATCGTGATTAATTCCTAGTGGACTCACCACGTTAGAGTAATATTATCCACATCGTTTAATCTTTCACTTGTGTTTATAGAATATCAAACACGTATTTTGTAGCTAGTCTTGCGTTTTTAAACCAAAATACCAAACAGCACATTTGAGTTGAATCCAATTCATAGGTGTATGTCGATATAGGCTTTCTCGAATTCAGTTTCTAGATGGTGTATGTGACTATGGAAAACATGCCTAGCATAAGGTAATAAATAATATTTTTAGTGACTAAAATTTGTTTTTTATTATAAGCTTTTGAAATGTTTATGTATGTTACTAAAAAAAAATATTTTTCTTTCTATCATAATGTTAAAAAAAAAACTGATCAAAATATTTTTTTATCAAATAAATAATAAAAAAATCTACTGACCTATATCATACAGACAGATATACATATATAACGAAATTACAATGTATTATTTTAAGTATAGATTTTAGGTATATTGTTATATAAGAACATAATATAAAGTATGTATTGAAGTAAGTATATAAATTTGAATGCATAAAATGTGATGTACTTTAATTGAAATAACCTAATTAATAATTTGTGTAAAGCTCATGAACTATGATAGTAAGTAACTAGTTTGTATCACGGGCGTCGGCCGAGTTAAGTGCGGTGGCGCTACTGGACCGTCCAAGTACTTAACCTAATAATTCGGTGATTGCATTATGGAACCAACGTTAATTAACCGGCTCTCTAGGTTGGTCAGCTAAGATGCCGTATTGATACGTGCTTTGGCCACGACAAATGTATGTAATCTACTGCTTTGTGCAATATGTAGGCATATAGCTTATTGTTTACGCAATGCAAGGAACAACCTAAGTATTATTACGAGTATATATTATGTAGTACGACTGATGTTCATATATATCTATAAATGTAATAGAATATTATTTTGTGTACTCATTTATTAGTCACTTTAGATACTATAATAAAATAATTCGTAAATAACTTAGAGGTATTTTTTTTATGAGTGAAAATGTAACCTCGCCTGCGCTAACGGTATACGCTGGCAGAGCATCAGTGAAGGGTGATAGATGAGAATAAAAACAGGCCAATTAGCCCATCATGATGAATTCATCAGGAATTAACCATGATAGTTTCCAGAGAGAACCGCGAGGATGTCGACCTGGTTGGGTATATTGCTAGCAATGGGATTCTCAGTCTCCATTACTAACAATCCCTTTCCACCCAAGTTATAGGTATTAGATCCAAATATTACTTACAAAACAAAGTTGCTATTCACATCTGTTGGTTTTCTTCATCATCATATCAGCCGTTAACTGGTTACTACTGAACATAGGCCTTCCCCATAAGGTGGATTTTGCCAGTAGATGCCATGCTTGGCAGGCGGGTTGGCAACTGCAGTTAGTTTTGGTGAGGTTTTAAGAGACACGCTGCTGCCCACGACCTTTAAATTAAAATCTCGACCTTTAAAACCCCTTAGTTGCCTCTTATATGACATCTGTGGAAAAAGAAGGGGTAGCCCATTCTATTCCGGGACCACACGGGTTTTTCTGCGTATTTTGTTTTCAATGAAACTATTTAACAGATTTTAATACGGGTTTAACAATTTTTTTTTCTCCGGAAGGTTCGTAGGCGTAAACAGCAAGGACGAGTCACTAATAAGTAATAAATTATAGGTCAGTCTTTGACTAAGGACTATTGTTATTAACATAAAGAATAAAACATAAACTTTGTTTGTGCAATTAATTTTAAATAATTAAGTACATGTAATTAATCTCAATAAGAAAATGGATATAATTATCCACTTATTACAAATTTTATAAAATAACATTAAAACTATTGATTTTTTAACAACACAATATTATTAATTTAGTATTTATACATTAAAAGTAGTATATATACAAAATTAATATAACAATTAAATACTTATTATATATACCTAAAATAAAATAAATACATAAATTTGTTCTAGAATTCAGATTAATATATACAAATGAAGATTTTTTTCTCTCTATAAACAATAATTATAGTAGATTATAAAAAATATTATTCATTATCTATTAAAGGTATTTTAATTTTTTGGTATTAAATACATGTATTTTTCTCAAAAGTATACTATTTCACTGATTTCTTAAATTATGAGAAATTTCCACAATTACGTATCTTAATAATGAATATAATTTTTTACTTTTTTAAATAATAGTTAATAGATAATATAGTTACATACTAATTAAGTTATCAAATATCTGACACTATAACGTTTCAGTATTTACACAGTAAATATATACATAATATAGTTCTAAAATCTAGTAAATAAAATTAATATTAAAACCACTAAGGACTAGCTATACCAATGGCACTTCAAGTTGGTTCAAGACCATGAGGTTTCAGATTTCCTTTGGGGTTCAACAAAAAAATAGCTTATAATATCATTACATGAATTGATGACAGTAATTTTAGACACGAATTCATATAGTCACAGTTTAGAATGGAAACACTTATATGTTTTTACACTTAAAAACTAAGCTGTTAAACTTTCATTGCATTATTACATTGGCCTTTATATTTTTCTAGTCTTTTCTACATTTTTCTTAGATCTATTGTAGTTTAGTAAAACATAATGAATCAAAATCGTTGAAATTAATAGACTAGGACTGCTCTGTAAGACAATTTATAGAAAAGGCCTCCGTTTAGCAATAAGTGATTAACGTTTGAAAATTAAAACTATAGTTTAAATTTTTAGTGCTCGGAACCAGGTTTATACGCAGAGTTCCAAATATCCGCAAAGCATACACTTGAATGAAATCTGTAGAACATGATCAGAGGTAAACTAATGTGGCCTAAAATTGACCATAGAACTTTCCCGTAAAAAGTATATCTTTCATCGAGACTGTCTGGTGATTTGTAGGAGAACGTGTTGAAAAGCCACATGCCTACGTTGATAATAAGCAGGAACATGAGGAGTTCTCGGCCTGGTTTCCTCCGACGATGTTTCTTGGAGTTACTGCAGCGACGCAAACCATCCATGATAAAGGGTGTTTGAATGAATACTTGCACGATCTGTTAAGTAAGTTTTTTATACTTGTATTAAAATTTGTGACAGTAATAATAGGAACTAATAATATAGCTTAATCACACTAATAGATATAAGTCTATTGGTATAATTGATATTTGAATACTAATTCAAATCCTAATATAGTAAAATATTAAAATTTTACAAGATAAAATCGTAGATTCTTTTAAAGAGGTGGTTTGGTGCGTTCTGCTTCAAGTTCGTAAGTGTGATAAGTTCAATATTTTAGGAATAATATTCAGTTACAATGGCAAATCACTTTTATAGATCATTGCTAATAATTTAGATTTCACTTATTGGACTTATTATAATTAAATATGATGCTCACGGCCTTTTTTACCATCGACAGGAAGTTCATCCCTATACCACAGAGCCTAGATGGTCGTGTACACTGCGGTTTCAGTGATGTTTCATAACATGAATATTTAGGTTATAGAATGAACTACCTATCGAGATTTTTCCAAGAGACATAAAACAGAAGGTTCTTCAAAAAAGGGGTGAAGAGGTTTCTTCAGGGTCGGCAACGCACATGTGATGCCTCTGGTACTGAATAGTTAATTTGAATTTCCTTAGAGAAGAATTAAAAATAAGTAACAACAAGTATAGCTACTAATGAGTACTTTTATAATTAATCGTAATACCACAGCACTGGTTTGTTTTATCGCGATGTAAAATAATATATTTGCGGTTGTAATAAAGCACTTTTGAATTTCAAATATCGTAGAGGTGTAATTGTGATAATTAAAGTGTTTAAATATAGTATTCTCACTAGGATAATTAAAGTGTAAGATATATGGAAGTAAACTATATTTTAACAATGAGAATATCATCATTATCATTATATCATTATTATATCTTTTATTTGTCCACTGTTGAACTTAGGCCTGTAAGAATATACACAGTTAAAATTATTATTAACTAGCAACCCGCCCCGGCTTAGCATCTAAAATTATCAGTATTCCTCTACTACATTATGCATATATTATACATTTAAACCATTCTCTTGAATCACTCTATCTATTAAAAAAAAAACAGCAGCAAAATACGTTGCGTAAAGATCTAAGCATACATAGAGTCAGATGAGTAGCGACTTTGTTTTATACTATATAGTGATTTCATAAGTAGTCAATGCTTACCATAACGATAAAGTCGATAGTCTTAACAACATTAAGGATGTTTACAGTTGCTACCATAGACAGAACAGTCTCCAATATGAAAGCTGGCAAACAGATGAAGAGTAAAACATCGTCAAGCAGAGAGATTGGGTGTTCGTTGATATCCAATTGCCGTAGCTGGTTGTACGCAAATACAACAGCAATTAACATGATACAGTGTAATCCCAGTTTAGTGCAGTCATTTAAAAGATATCCCACTTCCAGTAATTCACTGAAAATAAAAGATTTTTTTTGAAAGATGGGATTGTCAGTAATTAGGATTAGTAGCACCGTTATTTACCGTTAGTTACTATATCAGGTCGATCTCTTCGTGGTTCCCCTTGGAAACCATCGTCATTAATTTATTGTTAGATTCGTCACAGTGGACTAATTGATCTGCCTTTTCATTCTCACCTATCATCCCTCACTAGTGCCCCGCCAGCGTACACCATTAGCGCGAATTAGGTTACCATCCCATTATCATCCATAAAAAAAAGATATCTGGTAATAGAATAAAGAGTATAAAGGCACATATCGTCATAGTCGTAGAATACTGACGGATCTGACGAATATTACATATAAAGATCCGTCAGTATTCTACGACTATGACGATATAAGAAACATTGGACATGCTTAAGATATGATCAAAGAATATTTAAGAGATAAAAAAAAATATAACACTTTTGGTGTTAAGTCAGTCAAATAGCAACTAAAAAAATGCCAACGATTTAAAGACATTTCTATAAAGAAATTGATTACTTTTTGTCAAATGTGTATAAACTTTGCACCTGTAACAGTACACCTGAAAAATATGATTGTATCTAATCTTATTACACAAGTGTGACTGATTGAACAATTTTGAAATCACACCAGTAACACCGGCGTTTCTCATTGTGATTGGATTTTCGATAAAATAAATACGATTATTACGCTATTGATTGTGTGTGAGGTCTTTAAATCTCTTTCTCTTATTTTCATTTAGGTAAAATAATAATATAATTTTCTTGTAAATGAAAAGTATATAGTAAATAAATAACTTACTCGCCAACACTGCTAAACACAAAGCCGAGTATAAGCATTCCAGCTATAATAACAGTCACGATCAGACCAAGGAAAAGTCCACGATTGGATGCATGACAGTCCGCATGGATCACTACGTTGCTTGTAAAGTCATTGTCTTCATTCGCTGTGGGTATTCTGTAATTAATTTGGAAAGGAAAAAAATTAAAATACTGAAGTACGTATATATAATTATTTTGAAATAGTCAAGCAGTTTTATTGCTTTTGTTTGTAGATAGACGATTTTATTAGGTTATTAGGTGCAGAAATGTGGATACATAAATGACTACTTACTATATTATTGTTAGATGTTACAAGATATTAAAATCGCTTCTCTTCTAAAATATGTCTGATTTATATAAAGAGAATACTTTCTTATTATAATATTCTGTACGTTAATTATCTTAATTTAACTTGGTGGCATGGAGTTATTTAGCATATACACGTATTTACATAATCGGTTAAAAAGGATATACTCGTACCAACCCGAACGGGTTTAGTTAAATTTTTCTTATGATTCTACTTGACTATATTTTTTGGAATTAGGGCAAATTATTAAGTTTTATCAATAACATCATTGAATTCCAAATTAGCATACCCTTTCCAATGAACACATTTTAATAGTTCTTATGTAATTGTTTCATCATATTGAACGTACTTGCAAATTGGAAAGTTGTCATCGAGACTTGAGTTCAACTCAGAATTCCCAGCGTTGTCTTCATTTGGACAGTGACCGATATTGCTCCAGATGATATAGTACACTGCCACTGAAACATTTTGATTATACAACTGGTGACTTTCCATTAACTACATTGATTATATATCTAATAAAAGATATCTATATCAATTTATATTCATTATGATTAGAACCTTATAAATTATTTAATGAGAATGATTGTTATGAAATATGGTAATCTGTTATCCATATAAAATCTTTTTAAGTAAATAATATTTTATATAAGTTTTTACTCATTAAATAATATATTTAACATTAATAATAATATCTTCGCTATCATTAAAGAATTTTATGTTAATAATATAGATGCAAATATTTTCTTTTTTGTAAACAAACTATATATACAATAAATTAACCTTTTAAAAATTAAACAATTAATGATGGGGTATTTTTTGTGATGAACTACATAAAGAATAAAAATTAACATATCCAATATTTAAAAAAAATTTAAAGGCAGTGATAAGTGGTAAGCAAGAAATTATCAGATATCTTCCAGAAGTTTTCTAGAAAGATCTGATTTAGTCGTTGACAAAGATGCTTATTAAATATTTTAAGTTGGAGAAAGTATATTCAGCAAAATATAATGGAGTGTTTCTAACATTAACATCCAAATTTTCTCATTTCTATATTTACACACAGAAGTATTCAATATGAAAGAATTGTATATTAAATATAGAAAATGTCTGCATTTTATAAATGAACTGTTAGGTATGTGTGCCTATATTGCATAGCAATAAAGAAAAGCGAACAATTAAAACTGACATTTCAAGATATTTATGCGGGTAAACGATATGAAGATACTTTTTTCAAATAGCTTTCATTTTGTTTTCACACATATTTAAAAAGTAAAAAGTAATTTACGTTACTAATTAAGCACCAGTTGTAAAATGTGGGTTATTACAATAAATCTGATACTCTCGCACTCCGTTATGTTATCACGATACGATGAACTTCAGCTTCGTTACTGTTAATGCACAAACGTAGTTGCTTATTTTTCTATCATGGACCTATTAAATAAAAAAGCATCCTATGGGAGGTATCATATGAGAGGTGGGCAAAACAGTATACTCTGTTATGTCCATGGTACCGCTCATGTCTATAGGCGACGGTTACCAATTTCCATCAGGTGGGCCGATAGCTTGTTTGCCATTGTAAGTTGTATAAAAAAAAAGCTTGTTTGCCATTCTACGTTGTATAAAAAAAATCCACTGTTTAATTCGTATGTCCCATTAGTAGTTAATTTTTTTTACTTAATTCTATGTATATATGCTAAGGATAGATGTATATTGATTTTGATTACCTATAAGAATGTTAAATTCCACCGTGAATGGGTACAGATAGGGCGAGAAGTTCTCATATATGGAATTCACTGCAGGTGGGCCGATGCATTGCGGGTTATATAAGCCACTCACATCGAAAATCCTGCTCATGGATAAACGGATGTTTGGATCTTCTGTAACTACTTTCACTTCAGGTGCGACTGTAATAAAAATTTATTCCACACTACATGCAATATAAGAGTAATGTCAATCCTACTAATATTTAATAATTTTCTCACGCGAACGCTCAGGCTGTGGAATTAGCTCCCTGTCGAGGTTTTCCTCAGAGACTACAATATGGGGTTCTTCAAAAAGGGTATATCAAGTTTTTTTCAGAGTCAACAACGTGCACGTGATACCCCTAGTGTTGCAAGTGTCCATAGGCTACAGTAACCGTTTACCATCAGGCTGGCTGTATGCTTGTTTGCCAACTTAGAGGTATAAAAAAATATTATAAATGTTTGTAAATATGTGGAGTCTGAACGTATTTTAATAAATTTTAGTATATAGGACAGATTATCTCGTACATTAACACATAGGATACTTTCTATATTTTTCCAAAGTCGTGGGAAACAGTGTAAAGTACAAACTACTAGGTCTAAAAATAAAATTTGCTTTAAGGTTTCTTTGGGAGTACATAAACCTGACATATGCTGAAGAAGGTTTTTTAGAATTGACACGTGAAATGGCGGAAAATACACAGAAATTTCGAAGTCATGCTCAAATTATTTGTACTTGCCATGTTGTTATGTACATATATACTAACGTTAATTTTTTTTTTTAATAATAATAATTTTTTTATTATTCCACCACAACCATATTATACACTAATTGGCAACAATAATATAAATGTACACACAGTTGTGGGAGACTGGCGTCTAAATTGGGCAGCGAGCTGCCTGTGTCTTAGATCACCAGGCCCCTCTCCTCAGAAATAAACATCAGTAATATATTACTAACTGCCATCATGATAAGGAACAACAAAAAATAAAAATAAACACAAAAAAATAAATACAAAAAATACAAAATGTGGTAAATACACAATAATATTTTGTGAATGTACATACTATTGATTACGTGTAGCTAGAGAAACGTGTGTGTGTGTGTGTGTGTAAGTGTTTGATTGTGTGCGTGTGTGCGTATGAGTTTATATGCGTGTGAGTAGTGAATTTTACTTTTACCCAATACATTATACATATACATTATTATATATCATCTCAGTATTTTTTCCGTATCATCATAATCTAAACTTAACAACCATCCAATGATTATATTTTTACAGTAATATCTTGTACAATGATAAATGTTAAGAACTTTATTAACATAGTTATATAATCTACCACTGCGATAACAATAAAACTTTTTCGCAAAGGATGTTCTAAAGGACTCCATTTTACATACATTATAGTATCTTCTAGAAAGCTCTGTATTTGTAGTGTACTCTATAGCAGAATGTTGACGAAGTGTAGTCAATAAAACAAACAATTGCCTCACACCCAAAACTTCCATTTCCCTATATAATCGAGCAGTTGGAAATAATTTGGGCTTAGACATACCCACCTTCAGAATAAGTCTTTGTGCTCTTTCAACCTCTATTAATTTTGATTTAGCAGACCCACCCCATGACATTAAGCAGTAAGTCAAAACTGATTGGACCAATGCCTGATATACTAGTTTTATGGTTTCTTTATCTGCTACACATTTAAGTTGTTTAAATATAAATGTGAGTTTCCTAATTCTTTTGGAAACCTCATTTATATGTTCAGTAAAAGATAAATGTTTATCGATGGTAACTCCTAAATATTTGATTTTGTTTGTGCTGCTCAACGCAAGACAATTACAATCACTATATGACGGATAGGCACAAGAATGTGCTATGACATGAAATTTTTTGTTTATGGGTGGATTTTGGTTACGAATAGAGAAAGAAATGTATTTAGTTTTGCTTACATTCAGTGTTAAAAAGTTAAGAGCAAGCCACTGATTAACTATGTCGAAACCATGTTGTGCCAAACTATAAACCTCCTCCCACGTATCTCCGTAAAATGTAAGTATAGTATCGTCGGCATAAGAAACAAAATTACAGTTTTTCAAGTCCAAATCATATAAATCATTAATGTAGCACAGGAACAAGGTAGGTCCTGTTATACTACCTTGTGGTATCCCGAAATACACTGGCAGTTCATCACTAATATAATCACCAATTTTGACACGTTGAGATCGTTTAGATAAATAATCCTCGAAAAGCTTTAGTTGATTTCCTCTTATACCCAACTTATTGAGCTTATTAATTAAAATCTTTAGTGATATTGAATCAAATGCCTTTTTAAGGTCGAGGAAAATTGTTATGCATTTTTTATTATTGTCTAGCTTTCTAACCAAAAAATCTACAAAATTATGCATAGCGTCATCGGTTGATAGTCCAGCACGAAAGCCAAATTGTGCTGGATCTAGCAGATGCTGCTTTTCTAAATAATTTATTAATCTTTTGTTAATTATGCGTTCAAAAACCTTTGATAAGGAAGTCAATATGGAAATTGGGCGATAATTATCCACGGAATCTTTATTACCATCTTTATGTATTGGACGCAAAATAGACTTTTTGAGCGCGTCAGGAAAAACACCAACAGATAAGCAACTATTTATTAAATATAGAAGAGGTGACAACAGAAACTTTATATTTTCTTTTAGAATCCTCGCCGTAATATCATCCCAGCCAGGAGCACAATCAGATTTTAAATTCATTATAACAGATTCCAGCTCGTCTTGATCCACCCTCAGCAAAACAAAAGAACCAGAAACCGATGTTTGATTATTGCTTTTAAAAAGGTGTTGGTCTAAGGCTTGTATTCCTGATGAGATGGCACCCGCAAGAACTGTACCCGTATTGGCAAAGAACGAATTTACTGTGTTTATGGACGTCTGAATATCTCTGTTTATACTTAAAAGCTCAACAGGAGTTGCACTCGTATGATTCAGATTTGTAATGAGCTTAATAGTCTTCCATAATTTTTTAGAATTATTTTTGGATTTTAATAGTTCCTCTTTATCATATTTTCGTTTTGTACTTATTAATAGACTATGACAAAAATTTCTATATCTCTTGTATGTTACTTTCAGTATATAATTTTCCGGTTCCTTTTTTAACCTTTTACTCATCTTGTCTCTTGTTCTTAAACATCGTAAAAGACCATTAGTCATCCAGGGTTTAATTTTAATTTTACTTCTTGGGGTACGCAAAATTACAATATTTTTAGTCATAACATTACGTAATAAGTTGATAAATATGTCCGTCGCTCTATTTAAATCTTTTTCCAAGTTAATAATACTAAAGTCGATTTTGGAAATCGCATTGTATATTGATTCATAATTGTATTTTATTATTGACTTCATATTTTCATTACTTACGACTGATTTAGTTTTAATGCAGAACAAGATTGGTTCGTGGTCAGTTATTACACTATTTAGTACTATAGTATAGGCAGGTAACTTTGATCTTATGATTACATGATCCAAACAATTCTGTCCTCTGGTAGGTAGATTTATAGCAGGATGTAAACCATGGTAGGAAACGGTATCGAGATATAAGGAACTGTCCGTATTTATATCTAATATGTTTATGTTAATATCTCCCACCAGAATTATATTTTTAAAACTAGTTAGGCTATCCAGTAAACAATGCAAAGAGTGTACAAATGGTTCTATGTTTCTAAAACATGGAGGTCTGTATGTAATTACTATATAAATATAGCATTTATATTTTAAAATTCCTTTCAGCTTAAAGTTATGTTTTAAAACATTATGTTTTATTGTAAAAAAAATAGATAAATAGGTATATTTTCTAAAATACTGATGCCTGAAAATATGTTTACCTGTTGTCGTTGTATAATTATTGCCATAGCCGTTACCGTAGACTGAGTTAGCGTATATTGTTAGGGCTAAAATGGTCTCTCGCACTATAGCAGAAATCCAAAAACAAAGGCTGCTACCAATCATGTGCATAAAGGCTATATACGCTAAACTCTGTAAAATGTACCAAAATATATATATATATATGATTAGAATTTCTAGCACAAGAGGCACTCGTGTAATAAATTTTAAGTAAAAGAAATTTTAATAAAAAGGAACTCCAACTTTTGAACAAATTATATTAAGAATAGTTACGATAGTTCGTAACTATTCTAAATTCGAAATCACATAGAGAATGAAGTAAAAATTTACTTCATTACGAGAAGAATTGTAAATATGCAACACATGCCAATTTTAGTTTCCTTATACCATTCCATTCAATAAAAGGGGTTAGTTGGGAAAAAAAGGAACTAAAGATACGATAAACAAACTATACGAGTAATCCATGAATATATTTAAAATATATTTTAGTGCAAAAGAATTAAATATGCTCTTCGGTTTAGTTTTGTAAATTACCTGAGCTCGAAGTATTATAACGTTGGAGTACTTGAAAATAAAGTACAATTGCAAGAAACAGTATATCGGGGACATAACATCGAGTGTTAATTGCAGATAATCGATACAGTCGTCGTTGTCGATATCTTCGTCTACTAGTAAACTAATTTGAACAGCGAAAAGCAGCATTGAGTGAATGAGGTGTCCTAGCGCAAAACCTGTAAAATCAGATTTCGATTATTAGACATTTTACTGAACTTATCTTGCGGAAGTTCATATAACTGGTTATTTAATTAGAATTATTTTGTTTAATTGCAATACCATAAGTATGTGTATGACTGTCAATATTCGAAGATTGACCATTATTATTACTACCAGAAGTTTCACAACTTTCGAAAATTAGTCATTCATAGTTTGGGTGACAAACGGCTAACACTAGGCTCCGAACAGTGATCTAATAATTTGCCTAAAGATGTCATGTTTAGAGGTGAAACACGTGTCACAAACGTGCGTAAATAAAATGGCAGTCGAAGATTGATGGCTAATATGGACGATTGTAGTGAAACTTTTGGTATATATATGGGATATATGCATGGAGTCACAGTACAAAGAACTTTTTAAGCAAATACTAGTTGTCTAGTACCTATAATAGAAGCTTGCTTAATTTGGTACTGTGTAATATGCCTGTAGTAGTATTTATTATTGACAATTATTACAGACCTCACAATATCAATATCAGGAACGAAATGTATTTTTTTTTCTTGCTTAGATGGAAAAATCCATATTTAGCGGAACCCGTGCATTAAAGTTAAACCTAAATTAAGAGCTGGCAACGCGTATGTAACACTCTTAGTACTCTAAGTGTTGCAGACGTCCTTAAGCTAAGTAACAGTTTACCATCAGAATGGCCGTATGCTTGTTAACCTATAAAGAAGTGTAAAAAAAGAAAAAATCATTTACTTACCAGCAGCGCCTAGTTTAAGATAAAAACTTCCAGAATGCCTGCCATGGCTGAAACAGTAGTCATGTGATAATGGATTGAGCAGTGGTGGAGGTACGCTTGGAGTTTTGTAAGAAAATTCCGGTGTGCGTTCTCCCGGTGAATCTACATTGAATTCTTCCTAAAAATATGCATTAATAAATGAATTAATTATGCATAAATTAATTCATTGTAAAATAAATTAAAATTATTTTTGTCAATTTTACTAGCCGTATCTCGCGGCGTTGACTGAGTGAATTAATATTTAAAGTATTTTATACATATATTAAGTTAGGATATAACCTACCCGTATAATCGATTCTCATTCAAATTCGTTAAGTTCTATATTGTTGTATCAATTTAAGCGTGATTAAGTAACAAACGTATAAATCTTTGTAAACTTTCACAATTATAATATTAGTAGGATTTAAGACTACGTAAATAGTAATAAAAATCTTAATCTTAAAAGTTCCGTTGTACGGTGTTCATTTACGCTAATATCGAAAACCGCTTAAACGATTTTAATAAAACTGTAAAAATGTATTTACTCCAACTTAAGAGATAGGATAGCTTTAGCCCAATAAGAAAAAAATGAGATTGAATATGGTGGTAGAGGGCAAAACAACGTTTGCCTAAACCAGTAATAATATAATTACATAACACAAATTTTAATTACCTCTTGAGTTCTAAAAAATTGAGTCATCTTTTCTTCATGTAACGTTTTTATTTTCTGATTTTTTAGTGCTTTATTTTTGTATCGACCAATGTCAATAATCAAATATATGTGATATAGGATTCCAATACTGCAAAGAAGAATTGAATATATCTGCAAAATAATAAATATGGATAAATATAGAGAAAAACGAGTGACGATAAAAACGTACCATATACAAAATTTACTCAAAACAAATAAACAAAAAGTTTTGAGTAAACTTAGAAATAAGTAAAACTGTGTTCAAATATTTTAAAACTCAGCCAAGAAAAGAATCGACAATAGGAGGAAAAATTACATCCTGTAATTTAATGACATTAGATGATTGTATTTCGAAAACTACATCTTTCGAGAAAAGGGCTTCTTATCCTGACCATCTATCAGTCCATTTTTAATGTATTAAAGAATACATCTTTTAAAATTTCCTAGCATTAATATTTAAACCACTTGATTGTCATCGGCGGCTATTTCTTTATCCCCTATATAAATATACCAACCTTTGAACAGTAAGTAAGCATAAAAAAATAATACTTTACCGCAGAAACTGAGCATTCGACGAATAAGTCACCTAAGTAGATTATTACTCCTAAAGTCACTAGTATTATTGCGTACATGCAACTGAACATCAATGTCAAATATTTTCTGAAATTATTAATAAATACAAAATTAAATTATTGCAAGATAAACATTTTTTTTAAATTATTAATTTACTATTAAATTCATTAATTAATTAAAAACTGTCATTTACACAGATTTAAACTTATAGCTATTTGAAAGCGGAAATTTAAAAGACAAGAAAGAATAAAAATAAGATTGTAAATGCTTCTATTCTAATGCTAATATTGCTAATTCTACCAGAATTTTTAGGTAATCAAACATTTCTAAAACCGATGTGCATGTATGGATAGAGGCCTTTGCCACTTAACTAGAAAATTAACTGCCTACTCTGTATGGGCCTTGGCATAAAGATTGAAAGTATTTAAGGTATAAATAATTACTTGGTTTGTCTTATATTATCCTCAGGACTGGTAGGTGGTGGCGCGTGAGTTTCCACCGAGCGTAGGGACTGCGCGTCCATTGTAGCTACGGATCTCTTGCGGGGCGTCATACCGTTGCGCATGTCGTTCACTGACGTGTACATACGATAATTGCCTGGAGACAATAAAAAAGTCCTAAATTGTTTTATCTGGTTGATTTATAAATAGTTAGTCATTATTTTTAAATAGTACCTATCACTAATTCTGTGAGTCATTACTTCATATTTTTTATAAATATCTCCATTGATTTATAACAACAGTATACCTAATAATAGGCATGAGTCGTCAATTGGGACAATTTCATATCATGCTTTCTCATATTTTTAGCATACTCAGGATTACAATGGAATAATTACTAACAAGTGACTACTTTATAAAATAAACAGGAAAGAAAGTACAGGCATGATTATTTCTACTTTATTTTTATGTATAAAAACTATAATATCAAGAACATTTTATTACATATGTCTGGATTATAAGAGTTTACAGTTCAGGCATACGTAAATTGCCTTAATTGTTATCCAATTAAGCAGTCTTGGATTATTTATACTAAGCATATGGCATATAGATTTACAGTTCAAAAAAAATATTTGAGTGTAATATACCATTTGGAGTAGTCATGCCGGATTCATCTCCTTTCGGTATTGTAGATTTTGTAGATTGTTTATCATAGGGATCCTGAAAACGAGACAACAGGTATCGTTAATAAAAAATAGAAAGTACCCGCAAAAACTATCTAATTTAAAAAGCAAAATGTCACTTATTTTATTATAATAAACTTTTGTCCAATTTTTATTTTCATATGTATTAATTTCTATTTTGGATAATAAATTATATTCTATTCGTTTTATTTTTATATACATATTAAAAAAAATTATGGTCTCGACAAGTGAGCCATGGATCATCCAGAGAATACTTATTATTAATGATATACGTATATATATATTATAAGTACAATTTAATAAACTAGTTTTACAGTATGAATATTCTTAAAGAATGATGTTCCAATAGAATCATTACAATTCCATATTGGATGGGTATATGAAAAAAAAGAATGTGAACGCGCGCACCGAAAGCCATCGGATCGTACAAAATCGGATTAATAACTTCATTAGTCGCTTGTTTCTCTCGATCGACACTAGCTGTATTTCACTATAATCCCTTTAGTGCAGACTGCAGTGCGTTCCTCTACAATGTGTATTGGGTTGTGTATGTCTCTTTTGCAGGAAAACTAAAAAATGTATGAAAACAGGTACCACAGATTTTTATGGGTTCACTATAAATATAAGTATAATATTAATATAATTATTAATATATTCGTGACATAATGACTGAATGCCCTTGGTTGTGAATTATTGTCTTTTTTTTTATTGGAAATGCACTTTTTAGGCATTCCGTCCTAGCTATTTGATACGGATGGTGAGAAGCTGGGCGTTAGTGGGCGCATCGTGTGTTGTTTAGGGATAGAGTGCAAGTTAGGGAGCAAAGGGCAAATAAGTTAGAGGATCTAAGGCTGCTTCTAAAACAAGTGAGTGGTTGGCAATCGATTGGGTAATCCCGATCGTCTTCTGGTCGCCCATCCGAAGGGTAAACTGTTATTAGCAGTCAAATGCGACACGGGCGTCTATAAGGGCGCGGTAAGCTTTCACTATATGTAAAGCGTTAAAGACTGCTTATATAATACTTAATAAATAATGTATTTCATAAAATATTTTAAATAAACGGTTTATACTTATTTGTAATCGAAACAGTAGATTTCTATTGATTTATTCTTTTATAATTTAGGTACCATATACACCCATCTATTTAAATAATTTATATGTATATTATATCAAATTAAAAAAAGAGGTAATTAATTTAATAGGTGTATTCAACTTGAAAAATACACGTCGCCTTCTGATGTCAAGAGTTTGTAGGCCGTTTTCACTATACACGTGGTCTACTGAACGTCGATTTTATGTGAATCCGGAAACATGAAGCAAGTGATACTAGTTTTTAAATTATCTCAATATGAATTAAAAACAAAATTAAAACTAATATCAGCAAACTGTCTCTCCGTTTGTCTTGTTTATAATAGATCTACCACAAATAATACCATAAATAACTGCAATATGTAAGTATTCTGTTTATTTTATGAAATTAAGTTATATTATGTAGTAGTATTACAACATAACAAAAAGAGCAATATTGTGATATCTTAACTGAAATGTATTAGACATTAGAGATAAGAAATCTATAGGTAAATAATATTATAAACATACCTACTGTTAGTTTTTATCGCTCATTCATTAGTTAAGTTATTTTTAGTACATTTTTTAATATAGTATTCATTGTAATTAAATGCTATGATAATGGGAAGTACTGTAGAGCATAAATTATTGATAAATATTAAGCTATGATCATAAATTTCACTACTGATAATTATTAAGATTTACTGTATATAAATTTGCACCAGTGCAAGAAAGGAAAATATGTTAATGTAGAAATAAGGAGTGTTTTATTAAGTCACCATTATCTTTAAATCAACCGTTAAATGTCCAGCGTTAAACTATTATTTATATTAAGTCATCAATTGTCCTTTCCCATTAGGATGGGGTTTTGTCAATAGTTTTCACGCCTAGTTGAGTTTTATTAAGTTTCATATAATTATCATAAAATTGTATTTCATGTTAAATTACGTTTAAAAATAATCAACAAGACAAAGTAACACAGCCATAACGGACACTGTATTCTTTAAAAAAAACATCACATTTACGTTTTAATGTAATAATTACCGGTTTAATTTACTTGTAAATAGATCGAAAAAACTCGGCTAGTTGCGGGACCGATTCGTGACCCCTAATCATGAGCGGCTCTGACGCGAGCGCAGGCCTGACAAATTTGCGCAAAAAAAAAACTGATATACGATCGCATTCATACTTCCTGCTGTAGTATTAGCTCTGAATAGAATAGCAGACCGTCTGTTAGTAGGTTTTTTATCAGAAATTCAAGGACCTTGCTTTCCATCGGAAGGAATAAATAAAGAAATATAACACTGGTTCAAAAACTTTATCACATAAGACCGAATGTGAGAGAAAAGTTCTTTTACTCGTACTTTGAGATAACCAGAATAAATATTTATTTGTGATAACTACACTGACTTATTAAATGTAATTGAGTGTACTCGATATAACCTATACAATACTTTACCCGGAGGGTTGGACAAAACTTATGTTATGTAAGTTTTCTTGATTATATTTAAAACTTTAATGAATATTAGTTTCAATAAATAAATAGTTTAATTTCTATGTTAACTACCTTTTTTTATGATTTTCTAAACCTTAAGATATTCACACTTTCCCTAACATATACTTGCGACGCTATTACCATTCTCCTCATACTTGTTGAACCCTAAAACTCTTGAAAATCTCTTTAAACAATAAATGATATTTTCAAACTCTAGGGGTACCAATATCACTCGCGTCAAAACGATATTGGTTATATCATCGTTTATTCATTCATCTTTGAACCTAACTGCTCTTTCTTATTCATAGATAGATAGATAATTTATTTGCATTACTTACAGCACACAAATAACAACAGACACAGATGCACAATAAAAAATATAAAAGAAACATATACAAAAAATAAAAAAAAAAACAAAATGCATAAAATAAGTAACAATTTTTCCCTTCATGCGTGTGCCATAGTAACACAAAATGGTCACAACTCAGCTTATTGCTTCGCCCTCAAAAGAGCAAAACACTGATATTTTGTTGTGGCCAAAAGCTAGCATTATATTATATTATATTGTATATACCTAATACATAAATACTTTCTCTCAATTTTATAGCTCTCTGATTATGCTACTTTAAAAAGGTGAATGTTCTTAATTCATCTGTATGTATTGTGTGTGTCAATCGCAATATCATCGCCTTTCCTGAGCCAATTTTGATTGTTTTGCAATCGATAGGATTTTCTTCCGTGTTATTATTTTTTTATATTTCCGTGTTATATTATTATTGCTTTATTTCCCACACTTAACAAATTTTCTTTTTTTCAATATTTACGAATGATTTTAACAACTTTTTGTGTTTTAGTGTATAGTTCCCTATGGGTATATTCCATTTATTTCGATCTGTAGCAACATCTATCCAATTTCTTCCTACTATTTCAATGATTTCATCAATCCAACTTTTTTGTCTTCCAACACTTCATTTACCAATAAGGTCTAACTATTTTGTTATTTCATGTGTCTATCTCGTTGTCCTAGCTACATGCCCTGCCCATCTCTATTTCTGTTTTAGACTATACTGGAGAGGTTTGTTGTTGGTTTTTTTGCGGATGACTACGGTTCTTATTTTTTATATTCTTTTCAATTTAATGAATGTCAATATGCAATAGGGAGAAGTAATGATACTTCTCTCTATTGCATATTGGCATGACAGGATTTTATGTTTTAATTTTTCATGTTGGTCTTTTATTAGTTTTGTTCATGACTGAAATTGATCTAGTCATTTTGGAAAATGAATTCTTAAATTATTAAATTGTATGGATTGAATGATAAAAGACTTTCAAGTTAATTTAATGTATTATTGTTAGCAATTGTAATTCAATTACTAACAACACGGCAAGTTGATATAAATATTGTAGGAGAAAATCGTTCAGAATTCATAATTAGTTTATAAAAAAAATACAAAATAAAATATAAATATTAGTATAATTTTCCAGATACATGGTTTATGGATACATTAATGAATATAATTTTACGTTCACATGATACTGATTTGATTAAAATCACGTAGGCAATGCATAGATGTAATCATGCATGATTTAATGAAGACAGTAAGTTAAGTCTGCGAAAATGATTGATAACGAATTAAATACGATTAATGAGTTTTATCGCGAGTGTAGGCAAGCGTTAACAAGATTATGATGACGTTAATGAACATTCCAATTGTGACGTGGCCGGTTAATAGTCGGTGGAGGGGTAAAAAAAATAAAGAGATCGAATTTTCATTAGCCGAGGCATTGGGGCGGCACGGTGTGTCCGCGTATGGTATTTACAGGCACGGGTCACATAGAGGCAACGCGGTGCGGCGGGGACGTGAGATGAGGGTGGCTCGCGGCCGGCTGGACTCAAAAGGTTTACAGTTGGCTGCGCGAGAGTGACCCGCCTCACAAACACGGCCCGTGCTAGCCGTTCGACGCTATGGAACTGTATTTGCCCTTTACAACAAACCTTTTTAATATTTTTATTTTTATAAAACGGACACACGCTTGATTAAATTGATTTTCTCCCGTTTTCAGATTGACGTGGTGTTTTTTGTCTATTTGATACAAGAACTGGATTATTCTATAATCTCAATACTTTAAATACCTAATATTGTATTAGAAAGATTTTTAGCAATAAAATTATACTTGTCACAAATTTTTTACATTATAATTGTTTAAATTTTATCATAAGTTATAAGCCGCGGCTTTGCTTTTATTAATTAGGATGACAGTTTCTTATTTGTTAATCTGTGATATTTGTCTGTCTACATATTACACAGCACCAATCTAGCATGATACTAAGCAAAGCTAGTCTTATGGCTATGTTTATATTAAGCGGGGATTGAACTCTCAACCATTGCAAGATAAGGTAAGGAGTTAAACCGTTACAACACAATTTTATTTTAAATTAATAAATAAAATACTTTAATGTTCGTGTTTTTTATAATATACATATATATAAAAAACGCGTAAATTAAATACACGAATAAACGGACTTGCGATTCACCAGATGATAATTTTAAAAGTGGAAATATCGAGTAATATTTGTATTGAAGTTCATTTAAAACTAACAAAACGTTTAAATATTACTGATTTATATTCATAAATTGTCAAATATTTTACAAAACAGTTACAAGATTTTATATGGCATATTATTATTATTACATAATCGGGTATATCCATCCAGTTCTAACGGGGTAAATCATTACAACCCATTGCTTCCATATATACGAATTCGCTGTTTCAACTACCAACGAGCTTAAAATAAATTTACTTTGAAAACAGGGCAAAACAGTCTGTTTGAAATATTGGATATTTCCTAAATCTAAAACAAACAAACAGTTTCGACTTTTAAATAAATGAATGATACCTTCTCCACTCGTTAGTTTAACTCAAAAAGTTACCAAAAACCTAACAGTAACGTAGATTTTTAATTCTTTAGAGCCACTATATTTTATACCAGTGATTCGGCCTGTAAATAGAATTTTCTAAAATAATATATAGCCTATCTTATTCGCTGATAACGTAGTTATCTATAGGTGAAAGAATGTTTTAAATCGGTTGAGTAGTATTTCTGTTTATCTATTATAAATAAACAAACAAATAACCAAATCTTTCCTTTTTATACTGTAATAGATTATCTCCGAATAGTCCTTATATCTCTTACAAATAAGACGATACAAATGACGTAACATTTATTGAAACTTATAAAATTGTCTGAAGTTGAACTGTCGTGTCAAAGACCCGGACATAAGTATATCTAAAAGAAAATAAATATGGTCCTGATTATGTGGTGCCAATGGTAGTTGAAATGTTCGTCGATATTTACCATTGTTGTAGCCACACAATATGATATACTGAAAAAAAAAATACTTTTTTCTAGGAATTCAACCCATTTGATAATTAACTCGTACTTAATAATCACCGTCATCTTAGTCATTATCCGGCCACTGCTGAACATAGGTTTACCCCATAGACTGCAATAAAGAACGTCCTAAGCTACCTGCATCCATTGACTCCCTGCAATGAATTTAATAGCGTCACTCCATCTAGTGGAGACTCGTCCTACACTGTTTGCCCGTACAGGGTCGCCACTCAAAAACTATTCTTTTCATTGACTAACCCATTGTCAGCTTGCTGATAATCTACTTAAACAAACTAATTTATTATTAAAACTTATATCTCACGACACTTCGTCAATCTGTCAACTATTATGCATATATTGTTACAATAAAAATATTCCGTGCTATATGATAACTCGAGGCATATCTCGAGAATCTAAAGTTTGGCCAAATTAACTGTACACTGCCTACCTTCGAAAGCTGAGTCTAAAATGAATGGTAAGTATTATGACGAAATTGCTATCAAATATGTCCGTAACCGCAAAAGTATCAACTTCGATTTATTTCAAAATTTATAGCAACTATATTTTCTAGTCATCGGTAAATTACAAAGAATTTTAAAAGTTAAAAAAAAAAAAAAAATTAAAAAGATCAATATTTATCTACATGAAATATAAATATTAAATTTTTTGTATTTAGGGTTATACAAAAATTTTAATATTAATATATTATAATAGTAGAGGTAAAGAATTAAAATATTTTTACATGGGATTAAGTATACTTATACATTTACTGTTAATCGGTTTATTGATAAAAATGATAACATGAGCGGAAGGTACGACTATGTTATCGGTAACGCCGAGTAGTCAATTTGAGTAAAGGTTAAACAAAATATTATAATAGAAGATTATAAAAATATGATAAAATGATGAATAAAGTATGTATGTTTTACGTTTATAGACTGTTTAGAAATTGAATGGATTTTGCTATCCCTCTGAGATTATGAGATTTGTAAGTATCGTGGTAATAAACAAAGCTACATAGTTCATTTTATTATATTTGTAACTATATTACAAGGATAAATGTTGAATAATTGTGATAAGATCTAATCATAATTAATAAAATACGTCATTGACGTTTCCATGATTAATCGAATTTGTTTCACAAAATACATGATTAAATAAAAATAATAACCAGATATTTACAGTTTGCTTTACTGTCTCTTTTTTTAGGGTTCTGAAGCGAATAAACAAAAACGGAATTCAGTAAATCCATAACTAATTATATTTTTGTAAAAAAACTATTTTAGAAAATATAAATATTTTCTATTTTCTCATTCAATTTTTATATTTAAATTTTTTTATATTTATAAAACTAAGTAATTTAATTTATTTTTTGTTTAAGCTAGTTTGCTAGTTATATATATGTAATTTATAATGGAATTGTTATATTTATTCGATATTTTTACTAATTTAATATTGTTTTGTTATTTAAATACCTGTTAATAGAAAAAACATATACCTGGTACTAAAAAACAAAGTTCGGTTAGTTACATCATTTATATTATTTATAGTTACATCATTCAGAGCGGCTGGACAGATTTTATGATCCATGACTTGTTAGATTCGTCTCCGCTCCGAATAGCAAAATAACTGTTAAAATATCAAAAAGGGTTCACATAAAAAAATACAGAAAAATATATTTTAGACTCTTAGGTGATAAGGTCACCGGGTCAGCTAAATTTACGTAATTACAAAATCAGTAAAAAATTACTGAAGATGTTGATTAATAGAAAAAATAGAATCGAATTAAAAACTCTCTTTTTTTCGAGTTGGTAAGTAATATGTTTATCACTCATAATTTAAAAAGACTGATTAAATTATATATCAGGAAATTTCGAGCCTAAACACTTTCTAATCCCACAATAAATCTAAAGCCAAAGGTCTTCATAGATAAAATAGTTTTGAAATTACATATTTCGTGATCAGTGATATTAAATACCTAATTATATTGTGGTAGCCACAAATAAGAGCTTGCGGGAAAAATGAGCATTTATATTGATAATAAGACTTATCAATGCACAAATAAAGTACAAAATGTAGTCTCGACTTGGCGGATTATAAAATTATATAATCATACAAAGATAGTTGTTATCATTTAGATTTAATTTTTATTGATATTAAAAAAATATAAATACAGTAGTAAAATTATATTTTTAAAACAATATAGCCAATTAGACAAATATAAACAGACTCATCTAAATTATATGGGTTCTATTTTAACCATTCTTTTTTTTTATTCGACTATAATACTAATTGATTTATGTACTCATATACGAGTGTATTTACTTCTGTGTATAAGTTTATAAGTTAGTAAATAATGCACTTATTATTATATGCTAAAGTATTAAAAAAATCAAAAAACATCAACTACGAATTTAACTTTATAATTTCCATATTTAAAATTTCACGATTGTCTAGTACCATACTTGAATATACAAATATTACGAATATACTTTTAATACTAGCTATTATTATTTCAACTCTCTATTTTAAAGCCTGTTGGTAGAAGAAGAAAGAAATATTTTTGTTCGACTAAATTAGACTTAAGCATTTTTGAATAGTCATTTTTTTCATTACCATTCATTATATTTTATCCAATCAAAACACAACTTCAGCCAAGAAGAATGGGCAAAAAACTCAGCTGTTTTTTTCAGAAATTTTAATTAAATAAATAATGAATTTGTATGAATACAAAGTACTAGGCAGTATCAGATCATAAAATATAAAATATATAGTAAACATAGGTCTCCCCCAAAGACAACAAACAATCCTGAACTACTCTTATCTGGTTGTATTCGTACTGAGTGAACAGAGACAATATGATCAATGAATAAGATCAATCAAAAAGAGAATGATTCTTGTATTGGCTCAATGTTTTCATCATCTGCCAAGAATGTCTCTTCCTTTTTGTTTTTAGATCTTTAAGCTATGTATCTGAACCACTACACTCGTAGAAATAGATAATACACTTACATTAACATCATCGGCATATACAACGCGGGGCCGGCGACGTGCTGCCCTGGCGACAGTGGCTGTGATCATACCACCAGCATTGGGACCAGGTTGAGACATAGCACGCTTTCTTTCCCTATCTTGTACAACAGCTAAGTTATTAATTGTCACGTTCTGTACCTGAAAATGTAAACAATGTTACCTAAATTCATCATTATGGTCACCTCAATCATTATCCGTTTATCGCTAAATATTGGCCTCCTCCATAGACTGCCTCCTGAGCCACCTGCATCCACAAATTTTCTGCTATGTATTTGAGACCGTCACTCCATCCAGTGGGGGGTCGTCCTACACTGCGTTTGCCCGTACGGGATCATCAGTCAAGAACCTTTTTTCCCTGTCGGTTGTCGATTCTTCAAGCTATACGACCAGCCCATTATCATTTCAGCTTGCTTATTCTTCGAGCTATGTCGGTGCTTTTGGTTCTTTTGGTGATATTCTCATTTCAGATATGTTACCTACATTACTTACTAATATTATAATTGTGAAAGTCTGTTTGTTATCTTATAGCGCCTTAACGGTTCAACTTGTCACTATATAATTTAATATACACATACTATATAGGATAGAGAAGGATATAGGCTACTTTTTATACAGTCAGTAAATATTTCTCGGTTATGCGGACGAAATCGCGGGAAAAAGCAAATAAATAATAATTACGTATGATTAAAACCGGTTTACGGTTAGCCAAGCATTAAAACTATTTAGATAATAAAATTATCCAAAGATACAGAGATTATTTCTATTAGCAATGTCATTATATACTACTACATTGAAGTATAATATAATACGCATGTGCTATTAGGTATAGAAAGGTAAAGTGCGGTCAATGGTACAAGAAATACCTTAATTTTTATTATCTAGCTGTCCCATAGATTTTTTTTATGTGAATTGATTGGTCGAAACTGATCAAATGTTATAATTATTTTTCACTAAATTATTTTTATTAAAATATTTCAAAACTTTTTCTCCACTTATAATAAAAATTATACATTAACTATCTATAACCCGCGATATTATTCGCGGTATTTAAGTTAATATTTATTATGTGTCTATCTAGGATATATTATACCTACTCTATTCAGATCTATTCACCCATTTTATACGTTATTGAATAACAAACGTTTAAATGTCTTTCCATATAATATATTAAGTAGAAATAAAAAGTAATATAGAGATATTATATATAAATATTTCTATAGAATATTTGAAGTTTAAATATGTGATGCATGTACCTACCCCTGGATCTTCTTCTTCTTTACTGCCCGGAAATTCATCTTCTTCAACATAATTTTGTAATGATGATTCTGAGTGAAACTTTTTATCACCCATATTTTTCCTATTCTTTATTTCGTCCAAAATTTCCGTTTTATCAATATTAATTTCCGCCATTATAATTTAATCTAAACAATCAATCAATAATACAATAAAACTTTTTCACCAATATCTAGTTTATTTTTATCATTATTCATTAATTAATTAACGTCTTGTCCGTCCAGAGTACTACGATTAATATTGCAAATGAAAGAAAAACAGATTGCTATCGGTTATCAAAATTAAACGTATCTTTTATAAAGGCATAATTTATCGCGTTTGTGACTTCCTCTTTGTTTTTGTACTATTGATAATAAATTAATAAAGTAACCCTTTTGTTAAGAATACACTAGTAGCAATTCGTTTGTCCGATAAAGTGGATGTGTTTCAAGAATATTTTATATTACTGTTATCTTTACTGAAACAGATATATAATAATATATTTTTTTATACCTATACATAGTAAATTATATGAACTTACTCTGTAGCGTCTGGAGTTTCGCAGAATGTACGTTCTATATAAGGATGTTTTATAACTAGGAGTAAAACCATGAAAATTTAAACAATATATTTTTGACGAGTACCTACGATTAGTATAAAAATTATCAGAATGCTATTCTGATAATTTTACCTATCTAATAAAAAGTACATTTAATAAAAAGTGCATTTAGTTAGTTTCGTGAAAATAGCGAACTCTACAAATTATTCTATACTAGCTTTTACCTACGACGTTGTTCGCGTGACTGGGATATATTTATTGACCTAAGCAAAAATCCACATTCAATTCTCATTCATCAATACTTTCATCTCATATAGTACATGCACGAGTATACTAAATTTCATAGTAAGTTAAGCTGTTAAGGTACTAACAGGTCACAAACAAACAAACTTACTTTCACATTCATAATATTAGGAAAGATTATCATTTATTGTAGATTAATGTATAATAATAAAAATTGGACGTAAACAAAATTCTGTATCTACGTATATTAGTACAAATCAAATAGTACTTCAATATAAATATCAGAAATTTATTTATTTAAATAAAAAAAAAAATACAATAACTCAATATTCAAACATAAAGAAATTTAGAAACAAACTTTTTTGAACTGGCTTGGGTCTGAGTGTTCTGGGGGATGCCTCCAAATGTTCGTTGCCTAATTCCTCAAATAACAGGGTGTGTTTTTTTAGGACTAGACGTGTGATTGCATGCTATTTATTATTATTATATTGCCACTATATTATTAACAATCTGACTAATTGTAACTTTCATTATTGATTCATTAATTTACTCAATACTTCTTTTAACTCTATAGTAAACTGTGAAATCGGCAGCGCCAAGTCTTGAGCAGAAGAAGATACACTCTTGTCAGTGACAACATAGTCTGAAGGTACCACAAATGGTTGTTTCTTCTCACCAGAAGCATGTAAAGCTTTAAAACAAGGAGGCATTGGTAGGCAAGGATTTTGTTCGAGCCACTTCTGGAAAGCTTTCGTTGATCTGTGAAATTATAAAAATAAATAATAAAGCTAATGTGCTTTTATTAGATGAAATTGATTTAGAATTTTTAAATTTGATTATACGTTGTGTATCTTATATTTATTACAATAATTGTTGTAAAACTTAATTAAAATTATAATATTTGTAAGTATATTTAATTTTTTTTTCATAGTTTATATATAAGGACCTGGCATAAAAATGTTGACAGATAGATATCCAACTAGTAATATACTCACTAAATTTAGAGTGTAATATGCTAGATAAAATGGTGTTAAAATTCACCTACATATCGATGTCTATCCATTTTGAGGTTTATGGAAATTTAAAAATTTATTTGGTATCTAATAAATTCGTTTAAAAAAATTTAAGAATCAAAATGAAAATATTGCTTACGTAAGATGTTGTATATCATCCCAAACACAAGCCATGGAACGCAAATCCTCGGGGATCTTAACAGAGTGCCACATCTTCTCCGTACTGTTTTTAGGTGGGATATGCTTCATGTTTTGTGGTAATTCTGTACCAAATGCTATTGTATGTGGCGGACTTGTTTCCGCATGAATATCATACGCAATCTGTCTAGTTAAAACTTTTGAACACGAAGCCTGCAATAATAATATGTAATTTATGTTATTTTACAATATATTTTTTTCAACCTTTATTTTTTTCCTACACGCGCACAACGATTAAAAACATATTTATCATTGATAACATTAAAACGCGCGGTAAATATTTTTATATTGAGATCAGTTATAAAAACACAAAGGAGTTCAATGTATCAGTGACTAATCAACTTACTTTAGGTACACCGACATATTTCGCAATACTATGCAAGACACAAGGAAGTATCTTCGGATCCAAAACCAAACATCTAGAAGCATGCTCGTCAAACCAGACCTATAAACGGATTATGATAATGTAATGATTACAAATATTTACAATCTATTTATAAAGGGAAAACCCCCGAAATCTCCCTCCCTATTTATTTTTATACTCAATCGTACAATACCTTATAGAGGAATAATAATCATATTACTAAAATAACTGTCTTCGTTAATCAAAATCATTTTTATCTTAAACTGATTTAAATATTTTACCTGAAAGAGATCTTCAATATCTTCGGGACGCTTGATCTCACTTTTGAACTCAACATTCCCTAAATCAACCCACCAATCATAAAACTCTTTAGAAATCTGCAAATTTATGAAAATTAATTATAAATAAGTCCAATAATATCTTAATTCTGATATTATTAATTTTATAATGTTAATCAATAATAAGAGAGGGAAACTTTGTACAAAAGTTGTTTGCTTGGACACCTCTGCTCCGTTTGTGTTTCAACCGTGAAGTAGTTGTATTTGCATGGCTGTGTTTCGGTTGATATGGCAGTGAATTTACAAGGTACAGAGGAATAACACCTGAGTCCTCAGGAATGGCAACGCATGGGAGGGGTATCATAGGCGAAACAGTATACTCTGTTATGTCCATGGTACAGCTCATGTCTATAGGCGACGGTTACCACTTTCTATCAGGTGGGCCGCCGTCAGCTTGTTTGCCATTTTAAGTTGCATAAAATAATAATAATAAAATTGCAACTACACGATGTCTATATATTAAAGAAATAAAAAAAACAATAAATGTCAAAACTATATTTTTTAGAGAATTTGTCTGCTGTCTGTTTATATGTTTGTTCTGGTATCAATATTGCACAGGATTGAATGTGGTTTTTACAGTGGTATGTCTAAAAGCCCGACTTAAAATTTGATATTATATCATATCAGCCGTTAATTGTATAGGTATTATTAAACGTAGGCCTCCCCATGCATCGGGGAGTTTTGTCAATAGTTGCCATGCTTGGCAGGCGGATTACCAACCGTAGTTAGGCTTTGATGATGTTTTAAGAAGGACGCTACTGTCCATCCCTCGACCATTAAGTTCCCTTAGTCGCCTCTTACGACACCCACGGGCATGTTGCCCTTTATTTACCGGGACCATACGGCACTTCTGAAATCTATGCGTATTAAAAAACTAGCAAATTGTTAGTATGTAATTTATTATTATTATATTTAATAACTTTATTCTGGACACTAAATACCTTACAATATTATTTTACAAAGTTTTTTATTGTAATATAAATTAATCAGGCATATATACAATTATCTTATAATTAACATCGGTTCACTGATAAATGTTCATTGGTAAGTATACAAGTATCAATTTATGGTATCCGATTTCGATCAACTTTCAATTTGTTTTCATTCTATATATTTAGCGCCCCCTGCTAACTTATGCACGGCATAATGTAAGTAAATAAAGCCCTACTTCACCATAATAGCTGCTATCTATTTACAGTATTAAATATCTCGTCTGGGATTAATAACCATCTTTAGTTATAAACAGACATTTATCTTTTAGTTTTAAACTTAAAAGAGTAAAAGTAGAGTTAAATCAGAGTTTTTGGACGTGTGTTGTTTCTGTACCCAATAGAAGACGAGATTTTTCAAGGGTTCACATTTCATTACTTCACGTTTGCTAGTACGAAGTTGAATCAAGTTCTTTCGAATCAGGTATCAGTTTTTAACTGATGTCTAAGAGGAGATGGTTCCTTATTTGACTGAGTTTTCAGTGTATATGAACTATAATTAGCCCCATTTTTGCTTTTCGTTTTTTAGTCGGAAGGATGCTTATAAGAGAATTAAAATTAATTACTTTTGTGTTAGCCCCATACGAACTTAACCAAAAACAAAGTCATATTTTTTAAAACTTGTTGAAGTTAGTTAAGTCATTTACTTTATTTATTATACATACATATCTGTCACGTCTGTCTCCTATTAGGGAAGCCGGAACAATAGAACGCCAAATACTTCTATTCAAACAAGCCTCTTTCGCTTCTTCCACGTTCATCAATCTTTCAAGTCAATTCATTTGTTTAAAACAATTTTAATGACTTAACTAACTTTAACTATTCTTGGCTATGTCACTTTTATTTTAAATCCTTATAAATGTGAAAGTAAGTTTGACTATTACCTCCTGGCGCCTTAACGATATCTTAAGGCATTAGCGTTAATCGTCAAAAATAGGCAAACATCTAATAGATAAGTACTTGGAAAGAAGAAAGACATACACTTTTTAATTTTGTCAATTAATAAATCGCATCAGTTTGAAAAAATCACGGGTAAAAATTAGTTATTTAATATATTATTGTAGCGGAAGAATTTTAACTACTCATGTTCTTGACTATGCAAAAATTTCACTATGAAAATTACCGATTAGATGACATAGGGAGTTTAAAATAATGTTATTGATGTAATTACCTTTTTAGTCATTATTTCAGCTTTCTTACTGCATTCGTCAGAGGCTGAGACTTCGAAAGTTTTCTGCTTGTACTTAGAATTCCACTTGATCATATCAGTCTCCGATTCATTACAGTAAAGCATTTCAAAATGTGGATTTTTCGTTCGCCTTTGATATGGAACACGTCTAAAATAAATTGTTTAATAGGAAAAATTCGTTCGTCATTAAATTGCAGGATACGGAGTATAAAAATTTGTTGCCTGGAACTGCAACGTATCACTGCTATCACATGTTTCACTGATATATTTTGTAATATCCATGGTGCTTTTATTCCTATAGGTGATGTTTATTACTTTCCATAGTAGGCCGTCTAATTATATAAAAAAGTACCGATATCATCGTATATATATATATATTGTAAGCCCAAGTAACTTAACGATTCTTTAGGATAGTCTATTTATTTTTATAATATGTTATACTAGATAAACAAAGGGGCGGGTAACATAATTTGTATGAAAATTACTATATCTATAGACTACTATAGATTAGTCCATTAGTACTGACTAATAAATAAAAAATACATAGGCGACAATTACACAGCATGTCTGCTAGAAAGGTGTACTAATAAGTCATCATCTGTTTTTGCAGGTTCATCGGTAGTAAATGATGATTTGTACGTCTTGGTTCTACTAGAGGATGTTCTCATGATTGTCTTCGATAGGAACTTGGAGAATGATCTAGACATAATTTTAGACTTCGAAGCGATTAGCGATTTCGACTTAAGTATAGATTTAGAACGTGAAGTTTTTTTTATTTCATTCTCTACCACTGAGGATGCACTCCACTGTTCTGATTGCTCTACTTCTACGTCTTCTTCTTCTTCTCCTAATGATATTTCAAAATCACTCATAGAAAATGTAGGTCGTAATTGTAACTGAAATCATTAAGTGAAATATAAAAAAAAATTATTAATACATTAAATAGTATATAATATACCATAGTACTTTTTTAACATTGAAAAATAATAAAAAATATTTAATATTGCGGAATATAATTAGTACACGAAATATTTTATGAATAACCTACTCTATTTGATTCGGTATTTTACAAGTTCTCTAGTATATCTATACGAATAGGTACGTATATACTTGACCTTTAACAAACGAAGGAGCATTCTATTTATACAAAATAAACCAGAAGAAATTCAGAATAAATTGTTTTGAGAATTGTTCTTTTCCTTTTTAGCAATTACGCAGTGGTGACATTCTGTTATTAGGAAGGTGAGATGTGTACATGTTACATGTGCTACGTTATAAATAGCCATTATATCTTCACGTGAAATAATTGTTTCTTAATGCTTCTTTTTACTATATCATAAACATCAGTAAGCAAAAAGAATAATGTGGCATGCAGGTAGTCACATTAGAAGTAAAGGATGTGCCTACCACGTTATTATAATTGATTTAGATTATCGAACTGAACTGTTGCCTACTAAAGTAAAAAAACCATACATTTTTTTTATGCAAAAAGCGGGCTTAATATTGTATTATTTAAAAAAAAAACGGAATTATAAAAGTAGATATTTATTAATAATATGAATATGGAGTATGGGTCTCACTTCTGCAGAAGATCTCGCCTTATAGAAAAGTTCCGATGGATTCAAAGAGGACGTTTCAGATTTTGGTTCATATTGCGTTTCTTCCAATGGCAAGTTAAATATTTTGGCAATTCTCTGAAATATAACTGGCCCCACTAGTTCACGTACAGTATCACACTGTGATTCCCAAAACTGTAAACATGAAATTGTTTTTACCTTTTCATATTTGTATTTATGCCAATGTGTATGCAGATCGCGAAGCATTCATAAAATTTGAGGGCCTACCATGAAATGTTTTCCGAAATTTCGGAGCCAAACGAAACACAAATTTGATGTTAAAATTACATAACACATGCCGTTTAGAAATATTAAAATATCGTTCCTTTGGACTATAATAGGATGTATGACAAACGAAATGTTAAACTCCATTTATTGGTCCGATTTTGGTATAAACAAAAACACGAAAATGAGTCCGAAATTTCGGAATTTCATTTCATGGTAGACTCGCTGTTCATATATATATAATGGAACGAGACGATGTATGGGTAGAGGTTAGTGGCTATACTTTGTCTACTATTCAAGAGATCGGACATGAAGGTAGATATATAAGTTCGGTAATATACATATATTATTGAAGTATGCATAACATAGAACTTATATTTGATTAGTAGTCACAAATGAAGTCAGTTTTTCTGCTAATTTGATTTAATTTGGCACTTAATCAGTTGAGATAACTGGGACATCTACCCCTGTTTTATCCTATAAATGGGATGGAAATTCTGCGGGAATAGAGGTCGTTATAGAATGACTAAGCATAAGGCGTCGTCCTTCTTGATATAATAACATTATGAAAACAATCGGAAGTGGATGCAAAAAGCGAAGTAATGCAAATGGTGGAAGCTGATGTCCAGCAGTCGACAGATACAAGCCGAAATTATAATCATCAAATAATGGCTAAGATGATGATGATAATGATTAATGATTCTTTTAAATTATAATAATGATTATAAATTTAAAAGTGTGTGAAGATGTTTAGTTGACTATAGTTTATTACATTGAATGTATATAAATTTTGGTAGATACAAGTACATAGTTTATCTTTATATTAAACGCAAAACATGTTACTGGTTACAAATAGTACTGTATAAATAATTACGATGTACCTGTTCATCCTTGTACGATAACTCTAATTCTCGTATTACATTATTCCAGTGCACTTTGACTGAGGCCTCGATTTGTTCATAAGGCGAAGGAGTAATAACTCTTAAATGCTTCGGCTTGTCCCAACTTTTAATGAGGGGCCTCTTTCCGCAAGGCATCGTGTAATTATTACATTAACAAAACTAACAAAGAAATATAGGTATATAAATAAAATTATACAAGAAAAGTTACTTTCATCAGATTCTAGCAAATGTCAATTTAACTAGAAAAGTGTTATAGACCAAGAGCAAGATGTCAATTCAGAGCAGAATGGTAAATTGATGGGAGATATACAATAATAAAGAGGTCTGATATGTTTCACATAATATAATAAGTCAGTCAGGCTTAATCGCTAAAAATATGGACTAAACTGTCTATTTTTTTTTATAGATGACAATGGAATAGTAATCTTGCCTGTGTTGTCGGTATATACTGGCGGGGCACCATTGAGAGATGATAGGTGAGAATGAAAAGCAGATTAATTAACAAACCTACTTTCATTCATCGTTACCAATTCAAAAATTAACATGATAGTTTCAAGGAGGAACCGCGTGGAGATCGACCTGATAGGATATATTACTAGCAATGACAATGTTAGATACCATCACTAAAAATCCCTTCGCCTCCTATCTAAAATAGCTATCGATTATCATAGATAAATAATTACAAATGTCTAGCAGTTATTTACCTAAGACTATTGTAAAAGATTTTTGGTAATGGGGATTAGTAGCCCTATTGCTAGCAACATTCCCATTTAGGTCAAACTCCTCGAAGTCTTCTCTGGAATTCATCATGCTTAATTCCTGATAAATTCATGACTAAGAGTTATTTGACCTACCTTTCCATTGTAACTCTTTCTCATTTCTATTATCCCTCACTAATGCCCTACCAGCATGTTTTGTTAGCGTACGTGAAGTTACTATTCCATTTTTCATTTATTAAAAATCCTAAGGTTGTTTTATATCCAAAGAAAAATTGGCCAGTTCATTGCGTTTACTTTCTAAATAAATTACGTCAAGTATATTTGGGCGTTATTTCTAAGAATAAAAATTCAAATACTTACCTGTCTAAATTTAAAAAAATAAATAACACGTCACTGCAAGTACGATATTCTTTAATTCAGTAGATCGCATTAAAGTTTAAATTAATTGTATAGAAGAGATGTGTAGGTAGAGAGTTGATTGTGGTTAATTAATATTTATTTATTATAACAGTTAAAATATAATACTTAATTCAATCAGATAATTTAATACTCAATTTAAAAGTACCTACTTATTTGCTTTAATAAAACTTTAATATACTTACTATTTGAAAATATTATAACCTTGAATTTATTATGGATTGTGCTGCCATCTAGTAATATTCTGTGTTACTATGAAGCTGCACGTAGACAATGTACAATTTTCAGACAGAGAATATTCAGGATTTCAGTTTATAAGCGCCATCTAAACATTTACAATCAAACTGAATGGGTAATTAGAACTCGATATACCTTAGTTTTTTATTTAGTTTCAGAGAGATGGCAGTAAAATATGAAAATACATACTATATATTTATTAATTAAGGTAAAACCGGCATAAATAATTATAATGCAGTATTCTCACAATATTCAACAATATATTAAAAAAGATTTTTTTTTATAAAAATATAAACTTATAATAATTTTATTCTAGAACTGTCAGATAATATTAAGATTTTCCCAATTGCTCCGCATCTTCAAATGTATCGGGAACTTTCAGTCCATGCGTTTCGGGTTGTGTAAGCACTAATATAGCAGCGATAATAGACATTATACCAAACAACATTGAAGGTATTCCCGTCCAATAAACTGCTAGTGGAGGCGTGAGTGGCGCTAATACAGATCCAACGCGACCGACCATTGATGAAAAACCTAAGAAAGAATGTCGGTGTCTTGTTGGGTACAGTTCAGACGTGTAAAGATACAATGAAGTGAAAACAAGACCCGTACAATATTTACCAAACAAAAACAAAAACATTGATAAGCCATGCATATCTCGGGGTGTGAACGCAAAACCGATACAACAAAGACCACATAGAAAATAACCACCAAAGATGGTAATTCTGCGACCGATTCTATCTAAAATTAACACAGCTGTCCAAAATCCGGGTATCTCTATAGCAACTACTGCTATGTAATTTATATACATATTACCAGATAAACTAACAGAATTTATGGATAATCCATAATAAATAAATGTTGTTGTAATCCACATAATAGGAGTTGTACAACATCTACGTAACATTACTTTCGATTTTATAACACGTAGAAATAAGTTTTCATCTTTATCTGTTCTCTTACTTTCTTCAATTTGCTTAGGTATGGCTGTAAGCAAATAATTCATGGTTTTCTCCGATATCGTCCTTCTATTTAGTCTAGCTGCTTTTTCTAGAGTCGCTCTAGCTTCATCCTGTTTATTTTTACTTAGCAGCCAGCGGTAACTCTCTGTAACTATCCAGTAATATGAAACAAGAAGAAAAACTGGCGTAGATATAGTTAAACTAAAGTGACGCCACTCATGGATAGCAGAGGCAATTAATCCTACAAGTACCTGGCCAAATCCAAAGAGAGAGGACATGGTTGCACTCGTTAATACCCTGAATTTAGGGCCTACTATTTCGGCAGCTAAAATATAGGCAGCACTAAAGACTCCACCTCCAATAGCAGTTTGCAAGAATTGAAATGTCACGTACATTGTATAGTTTACAGAGAACGAACGTATAAAACCTGTTAATGCTAAATTAAAGGCAAAAAATACTATTGAAACACGGCGTCCAAAGTGATCTGAAATGTACCCAGCTAGTGGGAGAGCAATCATAGCACCTAGGCTATTCAAAGTTCCAGCCAACGCACGCAACCATTCTTTACAAGCCAAGTCAAAATCGTACACAACAGAGTTCGTTTTTAAAAACACGTAACTTTCACAAGGTATTGTAGTATTTTTGTCAAACAATTCCGCAGGACAATTGTCTGTTAACTCAGTAATGTTGACAATACTGGCGTATCTGTTGCAGTCGTCGAAACCTGACGAGTCAAACGGAATAGCGTTTTCTAGCCAAGCAGGTTCATAAATCGGTTGAGATCCATCACATTCCGGTATAGCACATCGGTGAGGAAGGCGAGCAGCTGTAAATATGTAATCCGCGGCCATAAATGCAGATGCCATGGATGGTATTGTTAGTAATAATAAATTAATTATTTGGTATTTTCCAAATTGTCCAATTTCAGCGTTCAACACATCTTCGAAGGCAATTTCGGGTTCACTTTCACTCGGCTTGTATTTTTCACTCATTGCGATAGAAGCACGTGTTTTCGAATAGATATTTTATTAAAATGAAAGTAAAATTATAATATAATGCAATATTTATACAATTTATCTCCCTACTATAAATGCTTATCTGTTCTCTACAGATAGGTACATTCTATTATAATATTATCAAGACGATGTGAGATGATTAGTTTATTTCGTATGATAAATAGAATATAAAGTACCTATCTATGTGCAGTAGATTTGTCTCCTGTTATATACATTGTATTTATATTCTGTGCTTGTGTTCGTTTCCCTAACAGACGAAAACAATGAAGTTAAAACTATAAATTAATAATATTAGTCATCTTCATAGTTGTCTCTTTTATATCACATTGCTAAAACTATACACGTCTTATAAGAAGTAACAGAAGAATTTTAATCTATTAACACTTATATTTCCTTTTGTAAACAAACAACATGTCTTGTACAAAATGTACTAGACATTTTGTTTATTTCTTTATTAACTTGTTATAGTATATTGAATTTAAATAATATTGGTAATATTCTATAGTACTTATAGTATAAAATACACAAATTCACATTATTGCCTGTTTCCTATCTATTTATGAAAAGAGCAATAATTATGTAAGTGAATTTTAATGTATGATGTATACTTACATTATATACAACATACATAATTTTAAGTTGAGATAAAATGGGCCTATAAAATTTATCTTTTGTAATCTTGGAACTAGATCTACGGCGATAACAAGATGACTGAAATTAGGTATTGCCTATATGTAATATATATTATGTAATATACTTTTTAGCAACAGTATTACTGACATCAGTTGCCATTTTAAGTGAACTGCAAAAGAAGAAGGCCATGTCGGTAATTTTCATTTTTTAGAATATAAGTCTAAATTTCAAAATAAATTTTTTTTAGTACATTATAGTTGTATATAAGATATCTTAATCACTGTATTCTGAAATAGGTATTTTAATAGTACAAAAGTTAAAACTTTTATGATTTTCTATGAAAGGTATTAGGTACATACAGATAAATATATTTAAATTATTAATAGTAGCTATTTGCTACATAGTCCTGTATAGAATAGAATAGGCCACTCCTTACTTTCCCTTGGATGTCGTAAAAGACGAATGTGGGAACTTAATGCTTGGGGGATGAGCAGCATCCCCCTTAAGACATCATAAAAGAATAACTGCAGTTGACTGATTTGCTTGCCAAGCATGGCAACTACTGGTAAAATTTCTCATATGGGGAAGGCCTATTCAGCAGCGGACAGTTAAGGGCTAATATAATATAAGAATAAAAACAGTAGCTATTACCTACACTACGAACTTTTACTACTGTTGTAATGATACTTATTAAAAAGATTTTTTATGACATTCTAAATGATAAACAAGTTAACGGCCCACCAGATAGAAAGTGGTAAACATCGTCTACATAACATTGCAATAGATATTACAGAATACATTAAAATTGCGTCAAAAGATAACAAATAAATAAACAAACTCAACTCAAACTGTACATTTAGTCACATTTATAATATTGGTAAGGATTTCAAATAAAATTTCGAAAAAATAAATTTTCATACCTGTTTGTTTATTTATCTATTTACTACGTTTACTATCTACCGCATCTACCGAGATCATTTGACTTTGACCGAAATATGATCACGATAAATTGACACGCAAATTATTTTGGTATCAGCCAATTTCGAACTACGATCTCTTGAGTCTCTATGTCTGGATAGTATACCACTGGCTATCACATTTTCTAAACATATAACTAAACTTTTATTTTTCACTACATATTTACTATACTTAATGAAAATGTAGGGCTTCAAATTGTCCCTATTACTATAATAATTACACCATACTTACAGAACTCGGCAACCGTAATAGACCTAGGCGTCCGCATAGACAAAGAATGAAGTTTGGCACTTCCCATTGAAAGAAACAGTTCCATATTACACTGGATCATTTTTTGTTCCATAAACTAAAATAATACAGGCAGGCTACTGATAGCTATATTGGGTTTCATATATAAATGACTTTGGTTAATTAATTAAAAGTGTAGGAATTAAAACTAAACCATCTGTTATCATATCAACATGTATATTAGACATCCAAAGTAAATAAGTTGAGAAAAGAGAAATATTTGGACAAACATATAGTTTTTACTCTCTGACTGACTCAGATGTTATTTCTCTGTACCCTGTTTTCACGCCATATCCCACCCTTCAAACCGAAACACAACTGCTTCACGGTAGAAACACGAATGGGATAGAGGTACCCAAGCAATCGACTTTTGTACAAAGTTTCCCTCTGGTAAACTCTCTGGTAAAAAAAATATACACGACTAATTATAATCCATAAAGTAGTAGTAATGAAGTAGCAACATCTGTCGATTATTCCCATTGCGTTTACCATAATGAGAAAAATCAACTAATGTTACTAACGTGCATACATAACGTGCGTAACAATGGATTTAGAGTATGGAGTAAAATTATATATTAACTGAAAGAACAATAACTAAAGTAATTCTAAATCTGTGGCTTAATTAGAATCCGCTAGCTGTGACAGTCTCCTTCGTATATTATCAATGGGAGCTGGTGCATCGTTTGGGGACATCAGTGGTGGTGTAACGCCATATCCACTTTCGAAGGTGAGTCGTGCCTCCAACACGGCTGAATCGAACATCCCCAAGCTGCTTAAGTATGGGGCTCTTCGGTATTCAGGATGCTCGATCATCCAACGGCAATACTCCTTAACGCTTCTGAAAAGTAAGATAAATAGAGATCAATTACGTTAGAAGAGTACTGCTCTGAAAAAATTATAAATGGGGTCATTAAATAAACATTAAATTTTTTATATGTGTACTCCTCAATATATTCCTCATAATAATATTATGAGCAGTATTGTTTATCTATCTATACTTATAATAAATCTGTAGAGATGTCAATTCTGTACATGAAATATATTTCCAAAATAACTATTAAGGGGTGATTAGCGATCGATACTGATGCCAAAAATGCAATTAGTAAAATTTTTATCTGTCTGTCTGTATGTTCGTTATAGAAACAAAAACTACTCGACGGATTTTAACGAAACTTGGTACAATTATTCTTCATACTCCTGAACAGGTTACAGTATACTTTTCATCGCGCTACGATCAACAGCAGCAGAGCAGTGAAGGAAAATGTTGGGAAAACGGGAGAAGTTACTCTATTTTTAAGCTTCCGTCACGTGTGCAGCCTTAATAGCCACTTTTTCAATTGTAAAAATGTCCACGTGTGCGACGTCGGGACGGGCCGCTAGTATATAATAAAACAAAAATGTTATGTATATAAATATTTATGAAAATTAATTCACTTTATTGTATAAAGTTATACTTCTATTTACAGCTAATATCAATTTATATTTTTTCTTCTAATTTTTTACATAAATGTTTATGTATAGGTATGCTTTTATGTGACTCTCTTCTACTAATTGAGTTTTTTAGGACTGATTTGGATATTTGACTGAAAGCTAACCTGATGCCTAAAAACAGGTGTAGCGTGTAGGTCTTAGTCGTCAAAAATTATACACAACTAAAATACAGCCACGCAATCACAGCTGCTTTATAGTTGAAACACGAATGGGACAGAAGTACTCAAGCAAATGACTTTTGTACAAAGTCTTCCTCTGGTAATATAAACATATAACGGACATAAGTACATCTTGCTTTAGATAATTAAAATCTTGTTAATAGGGTTATGTCATATTAATTTGTATCAAATGTTATATCACACAAAAACTTTACCTAAGATTTGTGATGCCCTCCCATACTGTTTTTAATGTGACCAAGTCTTTAGGCACATGTCGAGAGGACCGCCATAAGGTCTTGGTGTTGTTTCTTGGTGCTTTCCGTTGGTCACGGAGTGGAACACTCTGGGAGAATGCTGTCAGGTAGTCGGGACGTTGCTCTGCTTTCATATCCTTTGTTATCTCGCGTTCTAACGTAGCGTGACGGGATTTCTGTGATGAAATCGTTACATTTTATGTCTATCGAATTCCAAACTAATAGACACAGTACCTGATCTGATTATTCTGGGGTGTATATGAAGTTGAATGGGGAAATAATTGACGAACACATAACAAATAACAGTTATGTAGTCAGAAATAGCGATTCTAAAATAAATACTTAATTTAGGATTTCTTCAATATTTTTTATTATAAATTGTACTTCTAACTTTGATTACTAATAATAAATTTTAAATATTTAAAATATTTCTTTTTTATTTTGCGTTTTTACCACAGACTGTTCAAAAAATTATATTGGGAATATAGCAAATAACATGACAACCATCCTTATGGTGGATGATGTGTCAACCTATAAAACTCATATATGAAACAAATATTTCTGTTCACAATTTCTTGTTACATTCCAATAGCAAAATTTGCTAAACTTATACAAAACTGTGCCACTAACCTCTGGGTTCCCAGTGACGATTGCAAGTTTATCTTCCACAGATGGCAATTCTTTGGGCACCACTCGCAGACTGCGAGCTACGTGAGTGTCAAATTCAATCTAAAAAAAAAGTTTATTGAATTAAGGTAATATGTATGTATGTATGTATGTACATATGTCAAAAGTAAAGTTCTTTATACTGTTATAACTCCGGTGTACTTATCCCTTAAAAATTATATCAGGGCAGTGACACAAAGGTTCCACGATGTTTTTAAATCTAACAAACTTTGTATCAACTTTAATTTCTAACATTCCAAGACCCCGTTACTAAAAATACCCGGCTTATGTTCATAAAGTTAATTGATAATAACGACATTAATTTTATTCAGAAGGCGTAGTTATACAAATAAATATGAACCTATTACTTTTTTACAAATAAATAAAAATATACTGTGAGTCAGATACTAGTTATTTAATGTGAATGCTAAATGTAAATGGAAAGTACTTGGAACAGTTCCTTGATAGCTTTCGGTGTGAACAACTGTGATTGTTGGTCGCCACCCAGCTGCTTCATATATTCGCAAAACTCCGTTGCTATCTGAAAAAGAAGTTGTTCTCTTGTGCAATATATGACAATGAATACATATAATATAATAATCCAGCGATGATTATTAAAGTATAATAATTAATATAAATTATATATAGATTTTTTTTCTATTCTTGGAATATACTAGATTTATCAAAAAATATAATACAGTTTTGCCTTCGTTTGTAATTTCTTTGGAAATTCAGGACGTGGTCCAAATTTCATACTAGTGTATCTAGTTGTTAGACGTTTTTTAATAACAAATATCTAAAAATCCGAAAAATATTATTCAAATTTTACATTGTAATGTCTTTAATATTAGAATTCGTAGTTGTATCTATCTATTTTCAGGCCAAGTCCCCTGCGGGACAGGCAAAGAGGCTCGAGTGACAAGTCTCTGTACTTATATACATCTCTTGTATTTATTATTGTTAATAGTTATATTAAGAGATATAACTATTATATTATTATTATATTTCAGAATTAAATAACAATTATTTTTCCCCCATACCCTGTCAGTGAGATCGTCAGCCTTTCTTACGAGGCTTTTCTCCTCCTCTTTCTCCGGCTGAAGATATCTGGTTGCCCACGTCACCTGTTCACGCTCTGGTTTGTTTAGGAACTCCTGATGGATATTTGGCTGATCCTCGTGATCACTGTAAAAATAATAAAAATAAAAATTATATAATTACAGAAATTTGATATATAGAAATTTCACGAAAGTGACACTTCATGAAAAATATTCTTGGGTATGTAAAAATTGAATTTAAACTATGATGAGATATCCATCTTACAGACAGACAGTCATGACCAAATTAAAAGCTTCATTTACATGCATTTGACTATGAACCCAAAGAAAAAAATATATTAATAATTTCATAGCCTGTAGCGTCCCACAGGCCCTCCTAAACTAGTTCCACAATTTAACCAAGGTGTACCAGTTTCTCTAGAATCCATACAGGTAATTTTTCAACAGTATATGTATCCTGTCGCTACATCTTTTTAAATTTGCCGAAAACTAAAATCATCGTTATATTTTATTATGACATTTTATTAAACGTAACTAACTAATATGAAAAATTAAAGCATGCTTGTAAGTACCAAGTACTGATCAGAAAAAGATATACCGTTATCTATGAAAGACTAGGTAGATAAAGTGACGCAATTAACCTTGTGAAACACCGACAAACGTTGATAACAATGTTGATTCGTACTAACATTGACGGTCTAATAAAATTATTATAAAAATACATAAGCAGCAAAAAAGGATCATGTTCCGTACACCTAAACAAAATATGCATCTGTAATCATATCCATTAAATACTTTACAATTTTTTTTTGTAATACTCGTTAATATAAAAAAAAATCCATAAAAATTACACTTAATTATAAAAATATTTAATTTTTTTTGTCAATACCTATTAATTTTTTAATAGGTATTGACAATAAGACAAGCGGAGCCAAGTTTTTGTAGGCAATATGAAACTCCGTGTCCGGTTCAATATCATTCGTATTTTAACCGTAAAGCACTTGTGTTTGCATGGCTGTGTTTCGGTTTGAAGGGTAGGATATGGTATGGCAGTGAATTTACAGGGTACAGAGGAATAACACCTTAGTCCTCAAGAATAGCAACGCATGGGGAGTATCATGGGCGAAACGTACTCTGTTATGTTCATGGTACTGTTCATGTTTATAGGCGACGGTTACTACTTTCCATCAGGCAGGCCGTCAGCTTGTTTGCTATTCGAAGTTAAATAAAAGCACATTTGACAACAATTGTCAGTGATTGGTTAGAAATGAGAGTACCTATGATATAGTTGAATGCACTCTATTTTCAATATTGCTTTTTAATCTGATTGTGCATCATGTTTTTATTTATATCAATGGTATAACTGTACTTTCATTGCAATTCAAATATTCTGCAGGTTTAATTTTAAAAAATACTATAAATTTTATAAATAAAATTACTATATAAAAATATTGTTAATACTGCCTAATTTTAAATTATTATATTTGCTAATTTTAGGCAAATACACAAAAAATACATACATATTAAATACAGAACCTCATAAAATACGGAAAAGTTGAATTCATAGTTTACGTACCTGGAACACAGTTCCACATCAGTGTCAGAATCCAATTCTCTGTCTATATACAAACTTTTTCTGTATGATAGCAAAGGCTCTTTTATAGCCCGTCGCATGCGTCTTTCTGTAATTTTTTTTATTGAAAAGTTAATTACCTAATTAATAATGTACGGTAAAATTTTTCAATATATATTATTATAAATACAACCAGCTGAAACTAATGTTAAAATTGGCTATTTTCTATACAAAATATGCAGATATTAAAAAAAAGCCAATCATCAAATGTAAATGGAACCCGTATTTCAGATAAAATACGAATATATAATATATATTTGTATTTACAAAGAGAATTAATTCCTATCCATGATTCTGATGATATTATTTTATTATATTACATTGTAGGATTACTGTAGAAATTAGGATATTAAAAAGAGTAAACGTTTTTATTATCTACATACCTACCATATAAATCATAAATACAATATATTGCCTAGTTTATCTATATATAATCAGTAATATTCTCCGGCGAATATAATTGTATATGCAATAAATTTATTCCTTTAAATAATAGTGATTAATAAAGCAATAACCTAGATGTCGGCATTTGTAAAGAAAAACTGTGTAATTATTAAGTAAATCTAAATACGTATAATAAAATCGTAAGTAGACAATATCTGTACATTTCTAAAGACATTTAATAAAATCGATATAAGAGGTCTTAATAAGAGCAAAGGGTAATTTTTTTTGTTTCTTCGATCAGATTATAAATTCGGCATCACGTTAAAACTACTTTACCAAATTTGGATGTAGTTTTTACAGTTGTATACCCGAAACTCGAATTTAAAATTTGATACATGTCATTCTATGTTTTGTCTCAAATCGCCGAAAGCTAGTTAAGAAGAATTACCTTGAAATGATTTAGTCTCGTCGTGCCGATCTGTCACGACAGGCATATTTAATGTGGTACAAACTTTCTTATAGAGGTTGCTGGGCAATATCTTCGATAGAGTTCTGCTTTCTTCAATCTTAAACATTAAATATTAATTTCATTAGCTGATAATTAATACAGTAATAATAATCATCATTATCATTAAATCAGCCTTTAACTGTCCACTGCTGAACATAAGCCTCCCCCTTGGGGGAGTTTTCCAGTAGTTGCTACGCTTAGCAGGCGGATTGGCAACCGTAGTTAGGCTTTGGAGATGTTTTAAGAGGGACACTGCTGGCCATCCTTCGCGTCCCTTAGTCTCCTCTTACGACTCCCACGGGAAAAGAAGGGGTGGCCTATTCTATGCCGGGACTACACGGAATACAGTAATAATATAATAATTTAAATTTATAAATTATATATTTTTAATCTGATCAAAATAAAAATAATGAAAATCATGTGTTTTAAGTCTTTAAATTTAATATAGTACATATTAAAAAAAACCGATTTCACAGTTATTTTTTCCAAACATATTACAAAATTATGGTATAAAAGTCACTGCACCATATATTTCATAGTTTATTATAAATCGCTATAAAATTATCTAATAAGATATAAAATGGCAAAATCGTCAAAGAAATATTTATATAAAGACAATATGACAATAATGAAAAAAAAAATTATTAACCTCCCCATAACTACATAACAATACTCGGAAGAAAAATCATGGTACTCCGAATGGCATGGTTAATCATCTCTTACCAGATTTTTTATAAAGCATTGTCTTACTAAATGATAGAAAGTGAAAGAGTTAATACCAGAGGTTTGTTAATTTCGTAACATAGAGAATGAAATATAAAGTAGGTTGAAACATTCTTTAAATTGTTATTTTACAAATAACTGCAATAAAATATTGTTGTACCTAATTACAGTTATTTAGTGAGTTTTAGCACCATCCAAAAAATAGTTTGCATAGCTGTATTGAAGTTTGAATGCTGGGGTTTGGTAATTTTATTAATATGTATCACACATGCCGGCAAGCGGCATAATTATGTTCATGGTGCTGCATACCATAACTTACCATATAGGATACTTTATGTACTGATTTACGTGGTTAAAGTCGCAGGACACATGTTAAAATAAGAAGATATAAATTTTAAAATACGTACCTCTGTTTTGGTTGTTGTATCAATTTCATCAAACACATTGGTCCAATACTTTTTATTTCTGTGTATCGCTTCGGTCGCTTCATATTTAGAACTTCTAATATTCGGTATTTTACGTGGAATTTTCGACTTTCGCTTTGACATTTTATGGACATAATTGCCAAATATTTAATGTGAAATAAGACCACATAGATTTACATTGAGTGGGTTTTTACAAGGGTACACCACATCCGCTCTCTTCCAGTAGGTTTAAAAAAATACTTTGAGTGTTTCAACGCGAACACACACTTATTATTTTATAGCATTATTAAAATACACAGACTTGTCACCAGATATATATACATATTTTTTTAATTATATATTAAGTATTCATGCTAATATTTATACGAAGAGTTAAAACAGCAAATAAATTATAAATTGTACAGCATGTATATGTACACTTTTCCATTCCTAGTTCTTATTTTAAGAGATTAATAGTGCATCTCTTGATTATTTGTGTATTAGGAAGTCTATGGTTTGTTGACTACGTTGCTATCGCTACGCTAATAGCTGTTCTACTTTATACAGATATACATATGCATCTAACATATAAATATAAGCATATATATTTGAATACTGGATTTAGAAAAGGATGAAAATGTGTATAGTTCTAACAAGATAAATTCCTAGCAAAAGGATCTAATCTCCGTTGCTAAGAATCTCATCCTCAGATATTTTTGAGACAAAAATCATGTCTTCACATTCATACTCACACGCACATAGAAACATTTTTATACCTTACAGTGACTAATAATTGCAACAACGTCTGGTTTAGTTCAAAACTGGAAATTAATAATAAGTATTGAATCAATCCCATTATCTACTAGTTTTTTTTTAGATAACTATACATAATAATATTTTGGGACATAGTTTAATGAATTAAAAAAAATGTTAATATGAAGTACAATAAATAGTTCTACAAACTGTTATCTATTTATTTACTGTACTATATAGACAAATATCTACAATATATATGGATTTATTAATTATTTAAAACCAATCCATTTTAATGCATGTTTTATTTGAATATTACCATGGATATGAACGCAAAGTTGCGGTTGTCCAGTGTCGAGTTTGATCAATAGTTGCGATCATCGTATTATAAATTCCTACGCATATCTAGCTACCTTCCTACAGGTGGGTGGTGAAACGCGCGTGATCCGTTTATAACGCGCCAGGAATGCACTTTTCCAATATCAGCTTTGATATCTATAGGGTCTGAGAATTTCTGAAAGCACGCTGCTTTAGTATTGTTACAAATATGTAAGGTTATCAAACAACTACTTGCTTATAGTATCCTTACACGCAGGCACTATTACTGTATATGTACCTATATGTGTTTGTATTTCTGTAAAGTATTATATAGATGCATTACGGTATACATATAAATCAGGGTTACTTAATTTGTCGCAGTCACAGACCACTTTAACAATTTAAACAATTCCACAGACTCCTGTCAGAAAACATTTCATTAGCTCTTAAAATTTAGGAAAAGAATATAATATGGTATAAGACTATTTATATGCAAAACAAAAAAAAAAACACTTTTATTGGTAGTTTCATTACACTTACTACAAATTTAATGGGTTTCCTAATAAATATTTTTACAGTTAACTGACCTACTGCAGATCTCTGATACACATGCTATGGACCCCTAAGGGGTCCGTGAACCCCACTTTAAGAAACCCTAATATAAATAGTATAATATGACGATATCAGTATTTTTCTAAAATACATACTTGTAAAAGTAAATAAATATTATTATAATTATTAATTTTATTTGTGAAATAATAAGGTTTTTATCCGTTAAATTTTATATCTAATGAATATATTTATTATATCTAATTTAAATCGAAACGCAACAAAATCCAACTAGGTACTTCACGGCATATACACAAGTGGGGCAGATAGTAAAGAAAGATTTTCTTTGAAAATATATTATAAGTAAAATAGACAATTCTTTAGAACTTTAAAACATTCAAGTATAAGTAATAATGTATACTTATTATAGACAAGTAAACATTACTCAAACTTGGCAAGTTTATTCAAACTGCAATTCCGTCAGATTTTAGGGAAACTGGCGCTTAACACAATATTATGGAAAAGCGAAACGTGAAGTTGGCATAACACTGTTTAATTTCGTCCCGCGATAAATGGGAATTTTTGGTTCATCAGAATCTTGTTTTAATTAATTCTGATACACTTAATTGTCAATGCCATATTGAAATATAAAATGGTAATAATGAATTATCATCAACGTTACGATTCTTAGCGCAAACAACATCTAAAAGGGGGAAAGGGATTGTTAGTAATGGAGACTGAGAATCCCATTGCTAGCAATATACCCAACCAGGTCGACCTCCTCGCGGTTCCCCCTGGAAACTGTCATGATTAATTCCAGATGAATTCATCATGATGGACTAACTGGCCTGTTTTCATCCTCATCGATCACCATTCACTGGTGCCCCGCCAACGTATCCCTTTAGCGCAGACGGGGTTACCATACCATTTTCATCCAATAAAAAAAAACAACATCTAAAAAGGAGATTTTGTCTAAAATTGTAGAGTTGTTTAGGATGTACAATAAACAATATAAATGTGATTGTCGTTAAGGATGTAAAATAAACAATATAAATGTGATTGTAGCAACCTTCCGTTGTACCTGTCAGTTTATACATCTGCTGATAAGTTTGTTTTATTTATCGAAGTAAAAACAGTAAACGGTTGGATGATTTCCTTCTCATGATTGTTTTATCTTCATTGAAGTTGAGAATTCGTTGTTATCTCATTACGACAACTTGAACAAGATTAAGTTTAATTAACCGAATATTGTCTGGTTCAAAGATTTATTAGTGAACTGTTTAGTGATGTACTTAACCAAACCTCTTCATTTCATTTAATAATTATATATAATAAAATTAATACCTACTTAAAATATTTTATTTATTTATTTTTTACAACACATGGGGCAAACGAGCATGCGGCTCACCTGATGGTAAGTGACCACCGCCCATGATTACCCGCAACACCAAAGATATCGCAGGTGTTTTGTGCACTATCTTTTATCCACGACTTTGCTCGCATATAACTAATTTTGTTCCACAATTCTGGTTGTTGGTATAGGTAAAGATAAAATAGTTCCAAAACAAAATGTGAACAACATAAAACGTAAAACATAGTTAATTGTATAATTACAATATTATTAATATAGAACTAAACACTAATATATGGTAGTAAAACAATCAGTCAATCTATAACCAAGTATAAAATAAAAACTAAGTTGACACTCAAACATTTATTAGAATGCATGATAATTGGCATTGGTGGCTATATTTTAGCAAATTTCTATTGAGAATCTAGGCTTATGTGAAGCCTAGACTACTGGAATGATTTTAATAAAACTATGAAAAAATCCTCATGAAATATATATATGATTATATTCAATAATATTAGTCTGATAAAATAAAACCATACCGCGTTGTAAAAAATGCTCAGTTCATCTATTCGTTTCTATAGCAATATAACATTTTCTTTTTATTTTAATTTTAAATGTTTATTTTACATATAGACGCATTATAAGTAGATATAAGAGTAAAAGAGCCAAGAATATTTGTCGAGTTTGTTCATATCATAGTAGCTAGGAACAACACTAATTTCACGACGATTACATGCGAGTTACGGCAGGAATGTCATAAGTCGCGACTCAGCGCTAACACGCTCGCGAGACGGGTGACGACTTAATAAGTTAAGTTGTTACGGGACTTGTGTAAATTTACCTTTACGCCCGATATACTCGCTCACATCCGTCCCAACATTATTCTTAGCTAACGGTGTAATTTATACAACTGCGTAGTAAACGCGAAATTGAAGATTATTCAGAGATTAACAACTGGTGTCACGTAGTTTACAGATAATTTTAGAATGTAGATCTTGTATTTGCTTTTATTATGGTAATTGATTTTATAATGTAGTAATAGTGTAACCTTATCAACCAAATAATGTCCCACTGCTGGGCACCCCCATACAAAACAGGACGTAGCATATTATTTTCGTGTTGATTAGGCAGCTTGATATACGATTTTATTGCGAGTTTTATTTTCTTACAATTCTTTTTGTTGTTGTGTAATTATTATTTGTTTCCGTAATCACTTGTTGTGATATCATGTGGGTGAAAAGAAGTGATGTCCTACCATATACTTACACCGTAATTATAGAATAACCTGGAATTATTACTCTATTAAATATACTGAGATGTATTTTATATTTTTACTATCTCATGTCTATCATATCTTAGAGTTACCAATAATGCATAACGAACATGAAAGTTATCTCACTAGGAGTTTTAAACTAATCAAGATATTGCAAAACATTGTTTTGATAAAAAAAAACAAAAAAACACTTTTATGATAGAACGATCTTGATATTATCTTATATCTGTACTAAATGTTGATATTTATTACTTACTACCAATATTAATAGGTACTTCTGTATAAAAAAATACAATAATTAAACCCATATGTCTTCTATGGAAATCGATTGCGCTGGGCACTGCACTTTTCTAACTTTGTGTTTTATCTAAATGCCTTCATAAATCGTCATTTATGTCTAATTGTCTGATGTCCTCTCTGAAAATCGCCAAATCATACATCACTGCTGCTATGTCGTTTCACAAAGAGTTAAAGAGTTCGTTTCATAGTCACAGTGAAGTGAAATTGCATCAGACGATCGACGAGCCCTTACAAAAGAAGCGAACAGGGACTTTATCACACTGCATTAAAGTGTATATTCGTTCTAATAAAAATCGTGATTCACTTTTCACTTTTAATAGCAATTAATACCAAAAACAATATTAAGTCATTGTGAGCGCAAATCACATGTTGGAATTTGTCACTAGTGATATTACAGCTAATAAAAACAATTATTTCACTAAATGAAAATTAATTAAACAATAATAATTTACATGCCTTACCACGTCGAATTCAAATTTATAGTATTTATTATTTTTGTAACTGGTGCAATAAAGTGTAAATAAATACGTATTTTGAAATTACTCAGTAGTACTGATGGTATATTATTGCATAATTGCAGTTGATCCAATTTACTTTACCCATAGATACTCTGTTTATACAGCTTACTACAGATCTGCATCGGCTTCGTACGAATAGATAGAAAATTAAAATATTATTTCATATTAGCAAAATTATTTTATTTTAGTAAGCAATGTTTTGATACTTTGGGTTGCATTATTGATATTTTCGCAGGGATGTCAAATTTTTTAAATATAATATATAACCTATATTACTCGCTAATAATATAGTGATATCTATAGGTGAAAGATTTCTTTCTAATCGGTTGAGCACTTTTTGACTTTAACTATTACAAACAAATACAATATAAAATTCAAATCTTTCCTCTGTACTTATATTAATGTAGATAAGAAACAGTGTAATTATAAAACCTGTTGTTACCTATAATAGCTATAACTATAACCCACGGTTTCGCCCGGGTTAAATAGTATATGAAGTATGGTATGTGTACCAGATTTCATTCCAGTCCGTTTATTCAGTTTTTATGAGAATTCATCAATTACTTTTACTAAAACTTTCGCATTTATTATATTAAATAGGATTATAGCGAGAGCATCTATTAATTATCTATCATTTGGGTACGTTAAAATAAATGAATGTTTTTCTGCAAAATTTGTCTGTTAATAATATATAGTCTGTAATACAACTCGTATACATAAATACAGTATAACAAACAAGAACAAATGAATAGTGTTTAGCGAGTAACCGCGAAGATACTGCGAGCAATTTGTGATCTCGGCGACCGGTTTATTCTCACACCTGGTTAATTGGATGACCTATATATACTGAGTATACTGTAATTGTTACGCGTAGTATAATTTACGAAAACCATTGAGTTTACATTGTAACATATCATAGTCACTACTATTACAGGTAATATAATACTGTGCTAGTACTACGAATACTTAGTTTTCTGTTTCTCTACAACACTTAAATGGCTAGACGGATTTCAATGAAGGTCTTAATTATTATCTTTTTTCTTTTTTTTTATACAACTTAGAATGGCAAACAGGCTGACGGCCCACCTGACGGAAAGTGGTAACTGTCGCCTTTAACTTAACTAATTTTAGTAAAATATCCTTAAGTGTATTTAAAAAAAATTAATTATAATTTCAGGTATTAATAAAAGGTATAATTAAAATTTTCAACAGATTTGACAATTTCCTTACAAACTGTTTACAGTTATTTAAAGTTGAAATTACCTAATCCTGCGAAACCATTCGGTCGGTACTCAAGCTTAAAATCTATGAAGATAGCAGCCAAATGAGATTAGCTGAAATGAACTCGAAAACGCCTAAGCCGGGTCATTTCAGGGAGATCCTTTTCTTTTATCAGAATTTTGCACGCCTTTACTTACCTCGTGTATGTGTTTAAATTAATTTAAAAGGATAGAATCATATAAATATAATATAGGCATGCAATATGCAATATGTCATAATTTTACTATTTCAACAAAACATTTTTAATGTGACAAATTATAATTATTATCAAAATTATAAATAAATTATATTTATATAAACAATATTTACAAGTTTAAATAATATAAAAAAAAATTAGAGATTAATAAAACAAAATAGGATAAATTAATCAAATATATAAAAATACTATTATTGCTTTTGTAAACACCTTTTCTTTATATAGAGAACAACACCCACAACACCAGGGGAATTGCAGATGTGTTACCGACCTTTTAAAAAATTAATATGTTTTTTTTGTTTTGAAGATTACATTGTAGTGTCGGTTCGAAAATACTGCTGCTGGAAATCAATTCCAAAACACGGTTGTGCTTTGAAGAAAGCGCCTTAAAAAACGCGTTGGAAAACCGCCTCTCATCTAAATGGTTGAGATGGAACTTCAGTTTGTAACGCATTGTACGATGGTGAAATTTAGCAGAAGGTATCAAGCTGAATAATTTCTCAGAACACTCTCCATGATACATTTGATAAAAGATGCATTGAGATGCAATGTCAGTGGATGTCAATGTCTATGCAGTTTCAGTGGGTCGAGTCGGACAGTAAGCCGCTGATCATCAATAATTCGAGCCACCTGACGTTGAATGCTGTCCAATGGAAAAAGCTGGTATTGTGGCGTTTCAGCCCAGAGGTGAGAACAGTATTCCATATGTGGCCAGACTGGCGCTTTATACAATTGCAAGCGATGTGCCGTTGTGAAATACCAAATAATAAAAATAGGGAAGCGTTTTGAAACTGAGGAAATACGACAATGTTTTTTCCCGATAAAAGAGTAAAGTAAATACTAAATAAAATAATAACTAAATAAAATTACCTCATAGGGAAATTGTAATAATTTTAAATATTTACTTCCTAACAATAAATTAAAAGTTATCTAAAATCGGCATATCTACACCAATGATATATAGTTATAGGATATAAAGTTATAAAAGTTAGTAATAAAGTTCACGTTTAAAACAAAATATTCGAATTAAACACGTTTTTGAAGTCGGTTGTTATTATTATTTATATATTAAATAATAAATCTAATAAAGTAAGTCATAAATAAGTTTAATACTATTTTGAATATTTATAAATTTAAAGTTGAAAATCAAAACATTCATCAGTAAATATTTTCAGAAGTTTTGGATTTTCTTGAAGTAATCGTATCAGTGACTCTTTACGCTTCATTAATATTCCATTCAAAGATTCACTAGGCGATTCTTTAATTTTATGATGTTGACTTATTTGACCAGATGTACCTTCAGTGCATGTACAATCGAAATTAGTTATATTTATACTTTCTTGACTTGAATATTGAGTTGCTGCATTGTGATATAATTCATTAGCAAATGGTAATTCTCTACCCACTATATCCTTAGGATCAATCATTTCTGGCGCAAGATCTTCTTTCAATGGTGGACAAAGAATTACTTTTAATCTTTCAAAGTTTTCCTCAGTGTAATCTAAATAAGAATTTAAACTGGGAAAAGATGTACTGTTAACCCAATTCTTACAATGTCGCATTGGACAATCTCGAAGTCGATCATAATCACCAACAATCACAGACTCATTTGATGATTCTGTTGCTTGTTCTGAAAGAGGAACAGGCTCAAAAGTTTTAATTGATAATGCTACGTTATCACCAGGGATATTGTTACAGACATGATGGATTTGACTTGTATTCGATAGTAATTCTGATTCCTTTTTTAAACATTTACATTGTTCAGATTCAAGGAAAGCTTTTATTTCTTCATATTTATAACATTTGGCATAAACAAATTGTCTCTGAAGTCTAATGAATGGCAAATCGACCTCGGATGGTAATGTTTCTCTACTACCGTATTGAGGGTCAGGTAAATTTGATGTATCACCTATAAGTATATACGGTTCTTTATTACATGGAGACTCCTTAGTTTCTGGATCTAAGTACTTAAATATATTTTCAAATTTTTCTTCTTCTACTAATATTGAGCAAGACGTTTCGGGAAATTTTTGTATTTCATTTAATTGTAGTATAACCATCTTTTCAAGATCAAGCAAAAATGTTGATTGTTCCGGCAATAACTTAAGACTGAAACTAATAAACTTTAAAAATAACTGTAGAACTTTTTTAATTTTTTCTTCCCATTCCTTATGAATTTCAGAAATATGTACTTGATTTTCTTTAGAAGTTTCTATGATATCTTGTCTTTCTTTGATTTTCTGAACCTTTTCAGATATTTCATTCATTTGATAATTGTCTAAAATAAATTGCTTGATCTTACATTTTTTTCTTTCTGTGCACATAACATACATTGTATTGGTGATGTTTTCTGCTTCGATTTGTCTCACGTAAGCCTTTAATGTATCATTCCTCACAAATCTTGCTTGATTTATTAATTTATTATTTTGATGCAATTCATTGTTTAAAAGATGTTCGTAATATTTTTTTATTTTATGAATCTCATAGGTATACTTTTGCTTTAATATATTCTCTAAATTTCGTCTTTCTTGTTTTAGTTTTGATTTAATTTTAACATTAGCATCACTAATAATATTGGCGTGCACGCTACTTAAAACATTTTGAATTTCGGATCTCATATGGTCTTCCAATTCCAGAAGAGTACTTTCGTAAAATTTTGCTATTTCTTTTAACATAATTTTGCTTTTTGAATTAAATATTTCATCGTAGATATGCTTTACCTTTTTCTCAACAGATTTTTTTTCAATATCCAAAATATTAGTCCATGCTGCATCATTATTCCGTAATAAGCTATGAAGTTCTTTAAGAAATCTGGCATGTTCTGTTTCCAGTACACCATCACCAATACTTAAAATTCCTTGGTGAGTTTTCCCTCTAGTAATTTTAGAAGTAAATGGAGGTTGCAGCTCTAATATTCCTATTAACAAGTCGCTCGGTGATTGCCATTCATTTTTTTCTTTACCTTTTTTTCTATGATCATTGCTTGTTTCTACCTTTGACTCAGGTATGTGCTTTTGTGAATCGCAATAGCTGTCGTTTAAATAAATTTCCGCATAGGTACTTGTTACTCTTTCACCATGATTTAAAGTGCAAATAATATCTTTTTCCATATTCATTATATAATTACATAAAAAAAAATATTGTGTTATGTATGTAAATGTCATGGATTATGATTTTGAACGTTAATAGTTTTATACAGAAAAGTTTGATATATACTAGTATGTATTCTTAAAAAATAAAAAAAGTATGTATATTGGTAAAAATAAACTCTTTCTATAATAAATAAAACATCTTTTAGTTATTAAATTTCATAACCACATGTGCAAATGGAAATCATTTTGTATTTAATGGTCTACTTTACATATAGGTATAAAAACAAAGTTGTCAATTGTATATACATAATATAATAAATAGTACAATCAAAAGTAATATACTACAGAGTATATATAATCACTACAACGTCGTTTTCCATTATCTGTACACTTAGATATACTAAACTATGCAGTGGGTTTTAATATGATTTTCATTAATAGATAAAGTGATTCAAGCATAAGGTTTATATGTACTTAATGTTGTTTTGTCTTAAAGATACATATTCAAAAAGTCAGATTAAATCGAGTGTATTGAGAGCTTTCTTTAAAAATACTATCTTATTCTTTCGAAATATAATAAAACAGTGTATGATGGAATTATTCATCCTTATTAGGACTATAAAAAATCAGCGGGGGCATATGTCTATATTATTACCATTTGTATGTTTAAAATATTTAATACTAATTAGCTGAATACAGATATTGTCTTTATAAAATTTAATACTTTAGTTATCTTAAGCATTTCATGTAAATAATATTTTTCTTTTACACCACAAACTTTAAATAAATATCTTCTGAAGTAGCGTCAAATTAAAACTACATATCGTGCAACAAAACTTAGCAGTCCACGCCGGTCACTTTCGAGAGTGACCTCTCCTTTAAAGAAAACATGTTTGTATTGTTTCATGAAAAAAAAATGTGTATAAAAAACCATCCCGTAAGTTGAACACTACTACCAAACTGGCACCACATTAGTTTCTTCATTACACTCGTGCGAAACTGCGACCTGTCGTAGGTAATATCATATAATCATTACAAAAAATATTTATTCATCCTTGCTGTGATTTAATTATATATTTAAATGTGGATAAAATAAAATATTTCTTACATATTACACAAAAAAAAAACATTAAAGGTCGAGGGATGAGCAGCAGCGTTTCTCCTAAACTATCTCTAAAGCCTAACTTCAATCCGCCTGTTGACACAATACAATTATCTTATTTATTATAACGTTGTGTTGATTGAATATTTCATTACCAAAAACAAAGTGTTTATTCGAAAATAAAAAAAAAGTGTTTTATGTGTAAAATTTTATAAAATTGCAATATAATTATGTAAACAATTAAATAAATATTAATGAGTCGTCTGGCACTTTCCAAATAACAGTTTGGTATTCAAATAGGCGATCGTGTCGACGGCCTACCTGTGATTAGCGCCGGTGATGTAAAGCGGCGAGGCGCTCCCACCGCTAGATTTAATTAAATACTTCCTTGCACCACCCACCTACTATTTCACCTCATGTACTACCTGCTTGCCTTATCTCTCCCATTTACTAAAGTACATCCATTTTTAATACCAACAGAAATAACCCGTATACCATAAGTTATCATCCACTTTATAGTAACAAAATGTCCACTCTTGTAGCATTTATGGCAAAAACAGTCAATTCAGTCTACTCCGAATACGAGCATGTGATAATAAATTACAGACATATCTCGACTCCATTCTCATTACGGATGCGGCAATGTCCGTCGGAGTTTTGTCATAACTCAGTCTCGGTTGAAATTATTTCCGTTGGGTCTGATGAGAAAACTAGAGGTGGAGAACTCGAAATGTAAGTATTCGCGCAACAAGCCGTGGAATAACGACGGGACATATTTCATTCTTAACGAAGTTAAATTTCCGGGAAGGTCCTGTAAGAGCGTGCGTAACTCTGATAAAAGGCTACCCAGCTACAATACCGATTTTGTATTTGTGAGACATTACGGAGGTCATAAATAGGTACAGCGGTTATATTGAACTATTGTTTAGAAATATGAAGTGCTATAAATTAATAGCGGAATGGTTATTACTCTTATTATTTATTTAATACTCATATGTAACGAATATACACATAGTGGAAATAACACCTAAAGCTATTCTTTATCAGTGAACATGGGGCAAGCAAGAATGTAAGATGCATTTAATTAATATTTTAATCATACAGTCAATAAAGATGGCTGTTAACGACAAAATATAAAAATATTTACAGCGACTAAGTTTAATCTTATAACAACTTATAAAATTATATGAAATTAAAATTACTTATATCACAAATTTTCCTTTCTTCATAAAAAAAAACTCTAGTTGTCCGAAAGTTACAGAACGTTTGACGTGCTCACAATAAAACAACAAACATAATTCAGAAACTGGGAACAACTTGGATTGTTTTCTACACATCATATCGGCAAATAAATCTTTCGGCCGCTTATCTGACGTCAAACTTAATTCCCATGCATAATTCATCGCGTCGATTTCGTGTGAAGAGGGAAACTTTCTCGACTCGCTACAACAACCGTCTGCGACCTGATATTCGAGTTGAAGGGAGTGCTGGACATTTATTATAACTACGGTAATATTTTAATATGATATTTGCACAGGTGAAATACATAATATGTGAAACTCCACACATTACTACAGGGAGCTGTAACCACTGGTGCGATACGTCAGCCACTAGACGTCTAGTATAATATTTCTTACTTACCAAAATCAAGTCGGTAGGAATAGTTTCACGAAACACTGCTATTTGTAGATAACGAACTTACCATCGCTACACTACTGCTTGTCATGCAAAAGAATATACGTCAATTATATTCTTATTTAAACTAAACATGATCACTTCTATATATACTATATTTAAATTTGTTCAATAAGTAATTGATTTCCTTTTTTGGATCGAAACCTTAAACGATCTAGTAGGTGGTAGAAAATTCGAGTAAAAACTTTAATATAAATATCTAATAATGCCTTTAGATATAAAGAAACTTGTATTCGAGTTGCATTTATTTCACGAAAATAAAAAAATAATAAATTAAAGACTTATTTAACAACAAATATATTTTCTATTGATTCCAATCTAGACATGTTTTATCATAATGAATTCATATTTAAAATTATTAAACTTTATTTTAAAAGGAATAAGCATCTACTAGAGATACTAGAGCTATTCAATGTTGTAATAAATTTAAATATACCTTTACATAACTCATGTAAATTTAGATGTACACTTTTACATGTTTGTTTACGACATTTGAATTCAGTGCAGCAAGTCACGGGAAGGAGTTTTAGCATTTGTCCGATGCAGCTGAACTCACATACGGAATTGTAAATTTATTTGTCGGTATCTTAGCCCTGAGGTTACTGACCGCTGTCTGAATTTTACAGTTTTTCATAAAATAACTGGAAGACCACGTGGGTAACGTTGTAAGCACTTATGAAATCTTATGCATTTTAGAGATGTTTCGAGTTTCTTTTAATACAACCTATTTTCGGATTCAGATGGATGGTATCTTATAGACTACATCCACAATTTTAATTTCCAATAATGCACTTTTTAATCAATATGATTTGCCCCCATATTATGCTTATATTTATTTTAGTGACGGTTATAGTTCCGTTTTTTAAAGAGCAAAATACTTCTTGTCACTTATCAAAATGTATTTAGAAATTCAATAGACCATAAAATCCAAATAATAAATTCTAATTTATCGATTGATATACGCAGAAAATTACAATGTCAAACGTGCCTATTATTTGTTATAACTACAAGTGTAAGTTGAGTAAGATTAGTAATATGGAATTTTTGAAAGCTATGTCCGTTCACTTACGGCCTACATAGAAAGCTACGTGTTATTGCCCCCAAACACGGCATAAGAAGGTGTTGCTTATAATTTTGCCAGTGTAAGATTGCGCTGTAATGTCGGGTAAGGGCTGCTAGAATTGCTGTATTTCCTTAATAGTCTGCATTTACCCTCGCCGACAATTTGTGACGAGAGCGTGAGCTAAATTGTCGCCTGGAGGAAATAAACTAATTTACTTATAAATGTCATTTCATAAACTATAGCGTTGCTTGAGATACAAAGCGCCTATTGAAAGCTATCGCATTCAGTACGCGATTTTTGTTTTAAGTATGATTCCAGCTTTATGGAGTGTTTGTTTTTTTTTTATTTAATTTGTATTAAGTACTTTGAACATTTTAATTGTAATATTCAGGTTTTTGATTACGTTATTAAGTAATATTAATGAGAATAATTAATACAAATTTAATCTCATATTTTTTATAAAATGAAGTGCTTGATTGAAAGCAGAGAAATGGTATTGGATCTTATGAAATTATTTGGCGGAAAAATATTAATTTATACTAACTTTTTATAATATCTAATCGATTTGTGTGATTGTCAAAATTTTTGCCATTTGTTATGTATATCTAAAAACGTCAGAAGTCTTCATGTAGAACAAAGGTGGTCTAGAAACTCTTGACAGTAGAGGATGTTAGATCATAAATCCATAAGTAACGATAAACAACATTTGATATTACAGTAATATGTAATATTAAACATTTCGGACCTGGTAAACATGTAGTAAAGACGTCTATCTCTCTTTCTGAAACATTATAATGTAATAGAGCTACGGTTCTGAATGTCTACTTTGGCAAAATATCGTACCGCGTCTACGTAGCTTAATGTAAAATGGAATTAAATTAAGTTTGTATTTGCCATTTCTACGAATAAGCACGTATTGCGTCTTAAATTTTACCTCACATTAACTGAGACAGTCGTAGTCTCAGAGGTATTTTAATAATGAATTCTTTTCAGCTGGCACGTAGTTAATATTGCCGTAGCCATTTTAATGAAGGGCGTCATAAAACGTGTCATTGTAGCAGGAGTCGGTTCTGAGAGTTTAATGCCTCGCGTTAACACTATCGCCCGCTCGGGACGGATTAGCGGCACACTTTATGGACTTGCACTTGCATCACAACA